TCCACTCCTCTTCAATGGCTGTGCGAAGTTGCTGGATATTGACAGGATCTGAAACACGCTGTCTATACGCCGATCCAGAGCATCCTAAACATGCTCAATGGGTGACATGTCCGGTGAGTATGCTGGCCATGCAAGAACTGGGATGTTTTCAAGAACTGGGATTGTGTACAGATCCTTGCAACATGGGGCCGTGCATTATCATGCTGCAACATGAGGTGATGGTCATGGATGAATGGCACAACAATGGGCCTCAGGATCTCGTCACGGTATCTCTGTGCATTCAAAATGCCATCAATAAAATGCACCTGTGTTCGTTATCCATAACATACGCCTGCCCATACCATAACCCCACCACCACCTTGGGCCGCTCGATCCACAACGTTGACATCAGCAAACCTCTCACCCACACGATGCAATACATGGTGTCTGCCATCTGCCCTGTACAGTGAAAACCGGGATTCATCCGTGAAGAGAACACCTCTTCAAAATGCCAGACGCCATCGAATGTGAGCATTTGACCACTCAAGTCGGTTACGACGACGAACTGCAGTTAGGTCGAGACCCCGATGAGGACGGCGAGCATGCAGATAAGCTTCCCTGAGACGGTTTCTGACAGTTTGTGCAGAAATCCTTCGGTTATGCAAACCGATTGTTGCAGCAGCTGTCTGGGTGGCTGGTCTCAGACGATCTTGGAGGTGAAGATGCTGGATGTGGAGGTCCTGGGCTAGTGTGGTTACACGTGGTCTGCAGTTGTGAGGCCGGTTGGATGTACTGCCAAATTCTCTGAAACGTCTTTGGAGACGGCTTATGGTAGAGAAATGAACATTCACTTCACGGGCAACAGCTCTGGTGGACATTCCTGCAGTCAGCATGCCAATTGCACGCTCCCTCAAAACTTGCAACATCTGTGGCATTGTGCTGTGTGATAAAACATTTTAGACTGGCCTTTTATTGTGGCCAGCCTAAGGCACACCTGTGCAATAATCATGCTGTTTAAGTACTCACTAACACAGATTTAGACAGATTTGTGAACAATATCTGAAATAAATTGGCCTTTTATGTACATAGAAAATGTCTTAGATCTTTGAGTTCAGCTCATGAAAAATGGGGGCAAAAACAAAAGCGTTTATAATTTTGTTCAGTGTGTGTATATATATTATCATTAAACCACTGTTTTGAAACTATCTGAAAACCATTTTTTAAAAATAGCCAAAATAGATCATTTGCTTGATTCCTGTAGATCGGCACTGTTTATTTACACACGAGCAGCCCAACGCACATCAACCATCTTCCCAAATTTTATATATATATTTTAACAACAACAATAATAAATTATTATTATTATTATTGAATTGTCATATTGAATGGATTCCAATAAAACAACAGTGTGAGTGTGTCAAGTATAGAGAGATTCATTGTATTTAAACTTTAATTCTAGAGTGAGTTTTCCCCTATATCCTCATGTTAAGATGGATGGATAGATAGATAGATAGATAGATAGATAGATAGATAGATAGATAGATAGATAGATAGATAGATAGATAGATAGATAGATAGATAGATAGATAGATAGATAGATAGATAGATAGATAGATAGATAGATAGATAGTTGAGTTTTTGCTATATCGAACACAATTAAAATGTACATTTTGTAGATTAATGGATGCTGTTTATTCTGCCCTGGACATGTAAAATGCATTTAATTATGTATTTTCTGTTGTCTTTTTTTTAATAAGACACAATACCGGGCAGGCAGTGTATGGCCTCTTGTTTCTTCCTGCTGAAACAGTTTGAAGATGTGCTAATATATCTCAACTCAGTCAAGGTAATTCACATATCAGGGTGTTTGAATTGAGAGCAGAAACATAAACACATCATCCTCAAATAGTCATCTGGTTTCCCGGCAGAGTTACTTCTACAACGACGACACATTCAGCTTTAACTACGCCCAGGCCAAGGCTGCCCTGGGAAACTACAGGGAGGCTGAAGAGGTACAGAATACCATGGGGTTCAGTTAACATGATTTAGGAACCAAGTGCAACTCTGACTGAATCTGAATTTAATGTGAACAGGTGTTCCTGCTCATCCAGACTGAGAAGATCAAGAATGATTACGTTTACCTCAGCTGGTTGGCACGCTGCTGTAGGTTCTTCTATGTGTTCAAAAGTTTTGATCTGTGGCCAGCTGATTTTCTATTCTGCTTTAGTAAATGTTCTGCTTTGCTTGTAAAGAAGATGAATGGCTCAGATAGTCTTTGGAAAAGCAACTCTTTTTGATGAATCATTTCTGTAGACACATCAGACCACTCACTCTCTGATGTCATCCTCCCCCTCTGTTGTAGACATCATGAATCAGAAAGCTCGACAGGCCTGGGAGCTTTATCTGAGGCTGGAAACCTCATCTGACCCTTTCAGCCTCCTGCAGCTCATCGCAAACGACTGCTACAAGGTGCCATAGTATGAATCTGTGACTGGAAACACATTCTCATTAATATATCCGCTTCATTGTGTCACTAACATATTACTATAACCACCATAGAGGATAACCATTTGTTTAGCCCGCTGTCGTTCAGACACCTTCAGAAGTTTATGCTGTTTTTTCTACATCCCTGATTCGGCTTGTTGTGTCCCCAAAAGGACTTTCTTCTGAAGTTTCATTAGATTATTTATATTTCTTCTATGACCTCTTTTCAGATGGGGCAGTTCTACTATGCAGCTAAAGCGTTTGATGCTTTAGAGAGACTGGATCAAAACCCTGAGTACTGGGAAGGGAAGCGTGGAGCATGTGTTGGGATCTTCCAGCTCATACTGGCAGGCCGAGAGTCCAGGTATGAACCGATGCCATACCTGAGCAATGAGTTAAAGCCATTATTATTAGGTTCACATTATTAAACTAAACTCTCTTATTAGTTATTTACTTAACCCTGTAAAGCCTGATATATGAAATAATAGGGTTTTTTTTTAAATGGAACTGTTTATTGAACCTTTAGATAAAATATATAACAATGTTTTAATATGTGTTAATCTTGAGTTTCATATTTGACACGTTACGGTTTTATTGCTCATATCATATAGGAGAATATAGAGTTCATGCTTGAGGAGAAATACATAAAATGCATACACGTGTCAGTTATTACTATATATCTCAATAATATGTCTTAATAAGATAATATTTAAATGCTTTGTTTTATAATCAAAGCTCCGTTGTTTTTATTATGGGAAATAAAAATATAATGCAATTCAATACAATGATGATTAAGAGATGAACAAATAAACGTTCCTCAAAAGCCTGATGTATCAAATTGGATACTCACATTTTAAGATTTTTTTTTATATAGAAAAATCATATGTATGAATAATCAAGTAAATCTAAATTCTTCAGCCCAGTAAATGTTCTTCTTAAAATAAATAGTTATTCTTACTTTACTTTATAAAAATCTGTAAAAATATTCACAGCAAAGCAAACACATGTGCACCACAACCTGAAGGAGGGACTTTTTTTTAGAACTACACTAAAGGCCTTTTACTTGCTAATTTCTTTTGCTATCAGTCAGATGTAGTAGATTGTAGGATCATATTGATAATTTAGAGGTTTTAGATATTTGCGTTAAAATTGACAGCTGTAGCTCACCCAAGTTCTGCACCACCATTAACTGATTGAGACTGGTCATGTTTTCTATGTTTCTTTTTTTATTCTGCTTTTGTTTTCAGAGAGACACTGAAGGAGGTTTTGCCAATGTTGAGAAGCACTGGCAACCCACAAGTTGAGTACATCATCCGCATCATGAAGAAATGGGCCAAAGACAACCGAGTGCCTTTATGATTACCTTTACAAATGAGCCAACACACACCAGTACTTGGTCTTGGATATTCATTTTTTTGTAAATGTTATTAAAAATATATTTTTTTGTATGGTATCATTATGTCTGCTTGTTTGTCTGTCAACAAAATATGTGATTAGCACAACATTTCAGATGGATCTTAGAAAGAAAAAACATCTCATGTTCTTACAAGGCTACAATAACTGCAGCCTCTCTATAACATTTATTTCGTGTTTGTTACATTATATCTTTTAAAAAAATATTTTCAGTTGTCACAAAAAGAAAACTATATTTACAATGTATCCTTGTCAGTTAATTTTTTTGTGAGATGGACAACAATGCAACAAATAAAGTTTATATCTTTTCATTCTTGAGGCAACATAAGCCTTTAATTGTTTTGTCTTGGAACACTAAATGTCTATAGGTTTTATATAATTATATGGAGTGCTATGAAGATTCATCTGTGTGAATAGTATAGCTTGGGCATGATATGTTTATACTTTTGGAACAAATGACATCAATGACTAATGTAATTAAATCTATTAAAAGCAGAATGTGACAACCTCACAGAAAAGGTGAATAATTATGCTCTTATAACATCAATAAATAAATGTTATTGTTAACACTTTACAATAACATTAGTTAGTTAGTTAACATTACAAATAAAAAAAATACTTTTAAAGCATTTATTAATCTTAGTTTAACATTACTAATAAATTAATAAAATGTCAAAAGTTAAATCTTAATATTATTAAATTATTATTAATTACAATTACTTAATGGTCTTCAGCTAACATAAACTAACAATGAATAAACAGTTGAATTTTATTAACTAACATTAACAAAGATAAAAAAATACCGAAATAAATGTATTGTCTATTGTTAGTTAATATTATTTAATGAATAAACGTTAGCTAATGGGACATTAATGTAAAGTGTAACCATTTTATTATGTTTAAAGACTTCTGAACTATTCAAATCTTAAATCCAGAACAACAGAACCTCTTAACATATAATACGCGCACTTATGAATTATCGTGAATCACAATCCATTGAAAAACACTTTCTTCTATTATATCTATATTAGTTCAATTTCAAGGGGAATCCTTTTTTTGTCCACTGTAAAATCTCTAATTGATCATTAGAGTGTCTGTTGCCTGAAGGCCCGCCTCTGATTGGACGAGCTGCTGCCGTCGGCGTCCTCTGATTGGCCACCGCGACCTCTCCGTCGCGCACACCGTTTCCGGTGTCCGTGTGCGCGCAGGCTCAGTTCGCTCGTCTCCGCTCTTTTATTTACTCTCTCTCATCTAAGATGGCTGTTCGGAGCTCCTGAGTCCCCCGAGCGTAGCGACCGAGGATGCTTGCGCCTCCAAAATCAACTTTCACCCGGCCATCCCTTCCCATGCGCATCCCGTAAGGTGTGGAGGGGACTCTAGCATCAGTACAGCCTCCGAGCGCCCTTTCCATCCGCCTTGAAGCTCTTTAAATCAAGTTGTTTGGCGAAGTCAAGCCCCGCCACTGAGAGTGAGTGAGTGTCCAAGAGCACTGAACATCCAAATGGCCGAACCGAGAAAAGTGCAGTTTGTCACCCTGCCGGCCCTGGCCGGTGGTCCGGGCGCGGAGGGCAGGAGACGGCTGCTGGAGGAGGACGGGGCCACCGAGATGAGTTTTGACAGTGAGGGCAGGATGAAGATGATGGGGACCGGGGTGACGACAGCGGGTGACCGCGAGGCTTTGATCGGGAAGAGAGACAGCGAGGAGCCCAAAGGGAAGACAGTACGCCTAAACCTGTGTCTGTCCGAGCCAAACGAGCAGTGTTCGGCCGAGTTTAACTACGGCGAGCTCATCCAGTCTCAACAGGTACGATAACTATCCGGATCACTTTAGGAAAGAGTATGCAGACTAACCTTTACTTGTTATTATAAAGACACCGCTTGTTTGTTTTTTTTTGCTGAGTTTGCTTATGCGTTAGCCTGTTAGCTGAGGAGTTCAAAAATAAAGTCCTCTTCAGGGGATAGCCGTCTAAATGGCAAGTGTGACATATGCTATGAGCGAGTGTGAAGTGCGTTTAATTTATGAAGTGTCTCTATCCTTTTTGCTTATAAACTTTGGAGCACTTTGTTGAGTATGTGACCTTTGTGGCCCCCAGCCCCCTCTAAGCCCAAATGGAGATAAAGGAGAGCTGAACTGCTGCTAACTTAATTCATTGGCGGTCCATGTTACTTTGTAAACCTGGTCTTTGACATATGTCAAGACATTTTTTGATAATTAAAAAAGTTTTGCAATTGCAAAATAAATTGCATAATAAATGAACGTCATGTTTGAGAAATCTAATTAAAATGATTAAAAAGACTATATATTGGTCTTCTAGAAAAAGATGATTTATTCTACATGAAGTGGAATACCACCTCATGGGTGCCACCATATTGAGATCACATTGACCATATAAATGATACTACTACTACAGTGTAGTGGAGTCAACAGCAACACCATTTCAAATAGAATCTCTTTATTGCAAGCAATTATATCATCTGCCACTTTAATAGCTTGAGCTCTTTAAAATCTGGTGGATTGTGATTGGCTGTCTTTCTTTATTATTCATTGTCCTGAAAATAATTCCAACAATATAATTCCTCTGTCGTTGTTGTTATAGGTGTGGAGTTAATTCTCATAGAATTAGAACTATTATTAAAACGAGTTATTGTTAGAGATGCACTGATAAGAACATTTTGTCCGATACCGATAATTCTATTATATTTGAAAGCCGATAAACAATATTTTGGCTGATAAATCAAAAGCCACATTTTTATATCATTTTTGAGAGCCTGATTACAAAAACAAAAGTCTCACCATTAAAAGCCATGTCCCAAGCACATGTTCTCGTTATAATTTTATGTAGCCTAATGAAGTAATTCCAATCATATTTCAAGCAGTTCAAAACCATCACAGCAAACAGTGCATATCTGAAGTGTCTCAGCAGAAGGAAATAATCCATTATTTATCAGCTTTAATATATCAGGCAAATGTTCTTATCAGACCGATAACGATTAAACATGAACATATATCGGCCGATATATCGTGTGCATCCCTAGTCATTGTCCTTGGTCCACCCCAAAATAAAAATTCTCTCATTTACTCACCCACATGTCATTCCAAACACAAAAGAAGATATTTTAAAGAAAGTTAATAATCAAACAGTTTTCATTGCTATTTACTTTGAATGGACAAATAATAAAATTGAAGTCGATGGGATCCGAAACTTTCATTTTTGGTGAGCTATTCCTTTAAGTGTAAATGGAAAAATAACATGTCCAACATCGCAGTCATCTGTGCAATAATGATATTGATACAGAATTTATTGTACACATGCTGATCCACTAATCCGAACAGGAAAAATAAATGGCTTAATATGGCTCACACGTTTTCCCTCCACAGGCCAAGAAGAATCCACCAAGTTCTAAGTCTTCCCTGGACCTGAATAATCCCTTTAACGATGATGAGAGAGAACGTCTGGAGGTCGAGGCACTGGCCAAAAAGTTTGAAAGCAAATATGTAAGTGTTGCTCTATGATTTTGAAGTTGCATTTTAAAAATCTGTGGGCACCCAAATGCCAAGTGTCACGTTGCCGCTACCGCTGACGTCCTTACAGGGTAACGCAGGGAAAAAGAGGCGGAAAGATCGGATGCAGGATTTGATTGACATTGGCTTCGGCTATGATGAGAGTGACCCCTTCATAGACAACTCGGAAGCTGTGAGTGGGCACTTGCCATGGCAACAGACAGACTTCACTATGGAGATGATCGATTGGCATTTAACATGCTGTTTACCAACTCTGCCTCATTGCTCTCTGAACTTTAAGGGTGTTTTTCATTCATACTCATGTCAGTGATGGATAGATATATTTAGATTTATGTTATTGATATATTTGAAACGTGTTGTTGTGGAGTCGGGTTTTTTTTTTGCATGTTCAGACATCATAACGGCCTTCAACTTTGACCTAACCTCAGCCAACAAACAGCATAACACCTCTGTAAATCACTGTGTCTTCTTCCTGTCAGTATGATGAGCTTGTACCAGCCTCCCTGAGCACCAAGCTTGGCGGATTCTACATTAATACGGGTACTTTGCAGTTCAGAGCTGCCTCTGAATCTGAGGGAGAGGATGGGGGGAAAGGCGAAAAATCCAGGGTGAGTTTCCTTTCGTTTTTGCCAAGTGACCCTATGTACAACTGGTTATAAATATCCGACTCTCGGGTGATCCGATCAGAAGGCGTCAGTTGAGACAGATTGTCATTTACAACTGGTTTTATCATGCATCTCCAAATGTATCTCGTTTGACCACTTGTGAGCAGATGATCTCTGATTTACATAACGTACTATGCTATACAAAAGCACACAAATTGGCATACTGTTGCTCCCAAATAGTTCAATTTAATCTCACAGCAAACATGATATTTGATGCAGAATGCTCATAGTGTTCAGATATCAGTGCTTTACATCATGTTCCAGTTTGGAGCAAAAACCCTCGGTCACATTCGACTACCTTCAAATACGGTTTGAGTGATCAGATCACAAAACAATTTGGACTCCATTTACACATCTATTTATAATATCTGTCTCGACTGACCACGTGTGATCAGATCACCACAGACGGATGTTATAACTATCTGAAAACAGGGTCACTGAATGTTATATAGACCTGTTACAGAAACATTTAAAATTCTGTCATCATTTACTCACCCTCATGTTGTTTCAAACCCATAAGACTTTCACTCGTCTTTGAAACACAAGTTAAGATATTTTTAATGAAGCCTGAGAGATTACTACCCCTCCATTGAAAGTCCACGCATGTAAAGCTTCATAAAGAGATTGTAAAGGTAGTCCAATTGAAACGAGCAGTTAATACAAGTCTTTTGAAAAGACATGATTGCTTTAAATGATGCACAGATTTAATATAGGCTTTTATTCACACGTATAATCGTTGAGCAAAGCATATAGAGCACATGGCAAACACAGAAGCTCAACTGGGCTTGCTTGATGCAATTTCTGATGACAGAACTTTACATTTTTGGTTGAACTATCACTTTTACACTGTCTACACCAGACGCGAGCTGCGGTACACGACAAAAGCAAATAGAATCCATTATAATCAGTGTTGCTGTCTACACTGGAAGCGACACAACACCACAAATTCCCTGTGGTAAACTGATGCCCCGTTCTATCTTTGACGTACTTCCAAGTGCTTACGCTACTTCTGATACGAATGACAAATGGATTTGCAACGGTCGCTTTGTTGTGTCCGGTTTGGACAGCTTCTAGCTGTTGTAGACCTTGTGTAAGAGTTTGATTTTTCGAGACCCCACTTTTGACGTGTGTCTTGGAATATGATTGTAGGACTGATGATTGTTTTTTGATTCTAGATGAGAGATGGAGAGGAACCACTGATAAAAAGAAGGAAGAAGAAAGATGGAACCAGTTTAGAGGAGAAAAAACCCAGAAAGAATAAAGTAGCCAAACAAGGGTGAGGAAAAAGTGCTTTTGTAAATCTGGAACTAAAGCAAAAAGTAGTTTTATAAAACAGCTACTTGTATAAATATTGTATAGTTAGTTTTTGATTTTCAAGTAAGCCATTAGTAGACTGATTCTCTAAAACGTTACTTATGAATGCAGTTTTTATGGCCTTATGTTACCTCACAGAGTGTCTAGTCTGAGCCTTCATCGTCCTGAGAAGAAGAAGAGGAAGAAACTGATGAAGGATTCGCTATGTTTGGCTGCAATGCTCCGCCGTTTCACGCGAGAGAAGGAAGAGATGCGGAAACTAGATCCCAGTGCATCTCACTTGGTCCCTGGTCTTACCAGCACTCCCAACTCCAACAACCTGCTACAGAACTCCCATCTCCACAGCAATGCCAACAACAGTGACCTTTCGCTAGCCGACCTGACGGCCGACCCTGCCATGATGTCATTGCTTAATTCAGCCAATGAAAGCGAGCTTCAGGATATCATGCGTGACCTGGACTTTAGTTTCTTGGATGCCGGGCCTCAGATGCCCCCATCAGGCAGGGAGAATGGACAGATTGTGTTGGGTTCATCATCTGGGCACAAGATTGGCGCAGGGGGACTGAATCGAGGGCAGGCCGGTCTCATCTCTTTTCCACCTCTCCCTGATGGACTTCCAGCCCCCTTGATCAAGCGCATAGAGGACCTACGAGCTGTGAGTCCTGTTTTGGTTATTTTTCTATGGCGCTCATTTTAGTTAAATGGGGTCATATGGAAATTCTCATTTTTTTTAAATAAGTCGAAAACATATTGAGGCACAAAAATCCATCCTCAGTCCATAAAAAAAATCCATATACCGGTACTGATACCATGCTGAAAAAAATGCTATGTATGTCTCTAATGGTAGGGGACTGAAGTTTATTTTTAACAAGATCCCTGATGATTCAGTCTGATCTTGTCAGTTTTAGCAGAACATTTCAGCACAGCCTGTTTTGTGAATCTCTCACAATGTAATGCAGGATTTGCAGAGAGACTGCTATTGAAGGATAGGTCAGTTCAAACTATATTGGAAACAATTGCAAACCCACAGCCCAAGTGTGAGCAAAACAATGTAGGCGTGTGTACATAGAAGTCTTCGAAATTATATAATTTTGCTATCATTATAAGTACACCTGAATGGGAAAAAAATGTGAATAAAATGTATGAAATTAACTCGTTAATTGCATCAGAGTTTATAATTCACCCCAGCCTGTTTTGTGAGAGCAGATAAATGTATGAGAATAAAGGCAACTGAATTTTTTTTGGTCATGGCTGCCAGTTATATAAACTGCATTACATCTAAATTTAAAATGTTATGCATTGTTTTCACTGGAGGTCAATGCATAGAGAGCAAATAATACGCCCACAAATCCACTTTTAAAAACACTTCAGGGACCATTTTGTTAATGCCATTTTCCTGCACAACCTGATGGTTTTTTTTTTTTTTTACTCAGGCATCGAGGCAATTTGATCAAGAAGGCAGAAAGAAATTCTTCACACTGGATATGAATAATATCTTGCTCGAGTAAGTAAAATCTCAGCATGTTCTTATTCAGCTGTTCTCCACAAAAGTCCATTGTTTCTTGTTGATACATTTTTTCTCTCATTCAGTATTGAGCTGCAGGTTCAGGAGCAACCGGCAAACGTGCGTTCAGATGTGTATTCTCACCTGGAGGCCTTTGTGCCCTGTAACAAGGAGGCGCTACTCAAACGACTCAAGAAACTCAGCCTCAACATACAGGTAAAGGACTATACTTTCCTGTACCTATAGAGGATATTAAGATGTTACTCTAAAACCAGAATGGTATTTGTTGCTTTCTCACAAATGATAATTATACAAATAGCGTTAGAGTAGCTAAAGGCCGTGACACACCAAGCCGACGTAAAATAAACCGCGGCGATGAAAGCTGACTGTTGTTTCTTCGTGTCGGTTGCATCTCGGCTCAAAACTGAGCTTAAACACACTAAAAGGACTACAGGTGGCTGTCAGCAGGCACATGTGTTCTGCGCCTGCATGTACGGAAATAACTGTGTACACCGACAGATGCTGATTCAACATGCCGAACCCCCCAAACGGAGTCAGACTATTGCCGATTGTGTGGAACACACCACAAAAATGGTCGGCCTGGTGTGTCGGGCCTTAAAGGGATAGTACACCGAAATTAAATTTGCTGTTAATTTACTCGCCCTCAGGCAATCCAAGATGTATTTGTCTTCTCTTTTTCTTCAGTAGAACAGTAAAGAAGTACGATAAGTTTTATGATGCGAAACGACCGTTGTGTGTAAGAATCTAAACATTATTTTCAGCATCATTACCTGTAATCCATAGCCTTGGCAAAAGGGAGCGCGTGCTTCCTGTCGCATAATGACGTATGTGCGGGAGCTCAAACGTTGGGAATCTGTGAAAAGTCAATCTTCCCGATTGAAATTGCGCAGGCGAACGTAATCGTAATTTTTATATAGGTTGGGACATCCAGGATAAGCACAAGGAAGTACTTTTTGATGGACTATACAACACGGGATTCCTCCCTCCCTCCAGCGTCAGCTCACGTGCGAGTTTGTCCCCGAAACTGGACTAGTTTAACTGCTTTAAAATATGTGTAGCTTGTAGCAGGCTGACTGTAAGACGGGCTATAGTTTCAGAGTAACTTCCCCAACACTATACAACTCTTGTCTGTTTTTTCCACTTCTGCAGGATGACCGTCTGCGCACACCCTTGTTAAAGCTCAAACTGGCTGTGTGCAGCGTGATGCCAGAACAGATCGCCAGATATAACATGGATTGCATGGCAAAAGCTGCGGCTAAGTAAGTCTTAAACTTTCCCAAATTCCTGCCTCTTTCTGCTTCCATTATTTGCTTGTGTAGATTTGTGGAAGAGACTGGGAAGAAGGGCAAATGGATGGTGTAGATGTATAGAGAATTAAATTCACTGTGTGTGTATTACAGGCAGCAAATAGAAGATGGAGAGAAGAATGGATCCGAGGATGACGATGAAGAGAAACCAGGAAAGAGGGTCATGGGACCAAGGAAGAAGTTCATATGGGATGACAAACTCAGGTTTGGACTTTTACAAAATAAAATCATTAATGACGAAGCAGAGCAGACATCAGTTTTTGTTTAAACGCCACTAATAGGCTGACAGTGGAAGAAATTGAGTTACCCCATAAACTTCCATGCCTCTTGGTTTTGCCAGGACTCTGTTGTGTAACCTGGTGCGTGTGAAGCTGAGCTGTTATGAGCTAGAGCAGTGCTCTCTGTCTGTGGAGGACTATCTGAAAGCCTTCATGGAGAATGAAGTCAAGCCTCTCTGGCCCAAAGGCTGGATGCAGACCAGGTGTGTGTGTGTGTGTGTGTGTGTTTGTGTGCTGGCGTTACCTTCTGCTAGAAAAATATCCTGTAATTTAAATTTTCTCTGTCTTTTTCAGGATGCTTTTTAAGGAGAGTCGTGCGGTACACGGTCATCTCACTGGCCTGTGAGTAGATCAACCTTTTCATATATATTTACACTATTTGCAATCCAAATAGAACCTATATTTGGATTAAAGTGGCGACAGTTTATTCAATCACCCATCTTACTCTACTCTATGGAAGCTTGTTTCCGCCACTGAATAAATAAAATATATATAATAATTGCGACTTTTTATCTCACAATTGCGAGATATGAAGTCGCAATTATGAGAAATAAAGTCGCAATTGCGAGAAAAAAAGACAGAATTGCGACTTTTTATCTCACAATTCTGACTTTTTTTCTCACAATTGCGAGTTTACATCTCATAATTTTGACTTAACACATAATTGCGAGTTTATATCTCGAAATTCTGACATCTTTTCTCAGAATTGTGAGATATAATACTTCATATCCCCCTCAGAATACTTTATATCTCGCAATTCTGACTTTATAACACGCAATTGCGATTTTATATCTCGCAATTCTGAGAAATAAAGTCAGAATTGCGAGATGTAAAGTCAGAATTGCGTGATATAAAGTCAGAATTGCGTGATATAAAGTCAGAATTGCGTGATATAAAGTCAGAATTGCGTGATATAAAGTCAGAATTGCGTGATATAAAGTCAGAATTGCGTGATATAAAGTCAGAATTGCGTGATATAAAGTCAGAATTGCGTGATATAAAGTCAGAATTGTGAGATAAAAAGTCGCAATTACCTTTTTTATTTTTCATTCAGTGGCATAAACAAACTTCCATACTACTCCCATCTACTCTTACTCTAAACTTAATTTTTTGCACAGGACTTATATAAAGGGCATCTTCCTGGTGTATAAAAAAAAACATATATTATTTGGCTAAAGATTAGCAATTAAATGTGCCAGTTGTAATACTAGTAATTTATGAACTTCGCCTCCAAATATAGGAAATGTTTCTTTTTCCTGGTTGGTTTATAAAAATCTGAATGATGTGCAGCAAAATAAGACCCCACATGATGGGATTGTGCATTAGTAAATAGTTTCTACCCGTTTTTGTTTTTCCCAATTTACCGATTGAAAAGACAAAGATTTCGAATGATTTGTTTAGATTTCTAATGATTTGTTTAGAAGTTATATTTCTAGCGCCCCATGTCATGGATGTTTATCTAATTTCATCTGATGGCAGACATCCTGAAATATAAATAGGGTGTGTGAGTGGTCTCTCATGTCTCCTTGCCTAGAGGATAACATATTTAACCTCATCTTACTCCATAGAGACATGCCTTGAACTTAATTTGGTGCTTTTCTATGGAAATGTTGGTTTGAGGGCAAATGTGCTTAATTGTTTTAAAAATAGTGTCACAATACAAAAATGATCCTTACCGTCCTAAAATAGGCTTCATGGGATTTCGTGGAGAATCTCTCTTTTAAGCACTGTTCAGTGTTCACAGCAAAACGAATGTTCGGCATAAAACATCCGTCCAATTTTTGCATGCTAGTTGTCTTTCCAGACCTAAAACAGCAGACAGGCTAAATGAAAATGCAAATTTACTCTCTAACAGTAGGTGGCGCTTATGGGAGAAAAACCCCAAAAATACGCGGTACTCAAAGCACTGCTCGACTTTCTGACACTCGCTTGTCATGGAGAAGAAAGGCAGTCAAATAGCATTTAAATGTTTTCAAACAGCCGTTCAGGCTTTCTCTTTCAAGAAACTCTGTCGCTTAGCAAAATAGTCTGTTCCTGAGCCCACTTAGTAGAGGTTTGCTCAGGATTGAGTTTTTTGTGCAAGATTCTGTGCATACAACCGAAAAACACTTGAGAATATCCAACCCTGCACCTGTAAACCTTTTATTTTTATTGCACAGTAGATGAGTGTACCTTAAAACATTAAATACATTTGACTAACCTTTATTTTGAGATATTTATATTTTCCCCCCTCCAGTTTTTCACGCACACATCTGTTTCTTCCCTCCCACACCCGCACTCAGCAATTCAAAAGTTGTCCCGTGCCACACAGTTGCGTCAGGTCTCGCGAGAATGCAGACCTCTATCACCAGTCATAGTTTTATTTAATGGTGGCAGCTCTGGGCATGTGACCAAAAGCGCAACTCTTGGTTGGCCAGTTTTATTTGCAGTGCGATGGAAAAGAGATAAAACCACCAGTCCGTACAAAAATCAGTCGCATCATGCAAAAGCAATGCAAATGTTTGTGATGGTCTGAACAGACGCATTAACATTCAAATTGCAGTGTTTATCGCACAGAATATTTGTCTTGAAGTAGACAGGCCTTCAAACTAATCCAATAATGTTGAATAGTTTTTAATGCCTCATTGTGATTGGTGAATTGTTTTTTCAACAGTGGCAAGAAAAGAATTGTTCCAACCCCAAAAGCTGCCAAAATGACGGTATTAAAATTGAACTACACCATTATGTCCATATACTCAAATTCAACAGCTTTATATGTCCTCCAGTTGACTATGATGAGATTTGTAAGATCTGTATTTTCTGTCGTTCTACCCATGATCTGCTCCAGGACGTGGGCTGGACACAGAGGCCTGCTGCAGGTGTTGGATCCACATCTGCCTCGCCTGCCTTACCTGCCCCAGGGTGCAGACCGCCCTCCTCTCCCTCTGAACCCATCTGCCTCTCGGATTCACTGGACGAGGATCTGGCGGTGAACTCTCTGGACTCCATTTCCAAGGCTCTCGCTCTCCTCAGTAATGCTGCCAAGGGCCTGACGCCAAACAACGGCGTTCCCGCCGCCTCTTCTCCCGGTGTCCTCGGATCCTCAACTGGAGTCAGCCACTACTCTTCTCCTCTGTCACATTCCACCCTTTCAGGAAAAATGGAGCCTTCTGGTATCTCCCTGGTGAATATGAGCAGTCTATCTACCTCTCCTTCCCTCTCCTCTCCTCTCACTTCATCTCCTTCAGCTTCCATGCGAGGCGAGACCTTTGGGATGCTAAAGAACGGCGGGCCCGTGCAGAGACACTCGGGAACACCAACTCACAGAGCTGGCATTTCAGGAATGAACACAGCACAGCCTGCGAAACCCCGTCCACCCCCTACCGCCTCGCCCCTCTTACCTCCTCAGCAGAGGTCATTTGGGACAATGGGAGTGAAGCTAGTTCAGACCCCGTCTCCCGTTGGACAAGCGAAAAACTGCGCTAACAAATCCGGTGGCGGTACTGTGGTTTCCCTGCAGTCTCGTATGAACGCTCATCCCTCACAGATGAGCCCTCAGCAGTCTCCTTCTCCGACTCCTTCCTCTCCATCCATCCTGCTGTCACAGACCAAGACGACCTCTATCCCACACAACCAGTCAAACTTCATCACGCCCATGCAGGCCACGCTCACAAAGTCTTCCCACAGTAGCAGCTCTCCCATCATCAAACTCACACCGCGACCCCCTGCTCCTACTCCTCCTCCTTCGTCCTCACCCTCTCCTTCATCAACTCCTTCTCTTGCCCACCCCAGACCTCAAATTATCCCCAGCTCGCACCAGTACAGCCCCAAGAGCCCGGCCTTCAGGCCGCCGTTTACCACACAAGGAACTGGAATCGGATCCGGAGTCAAATCAGGATCAGGACAAGCCAGTTACAGTTTTGTAAGTGGACACAAAACCTCCAGTCCATCTGGCGGTGGAGCAAACAACAACACCATCACCACAGCGATGGCCACTCCCATGTCTGCAGGGTGCCAGAACAGTAGCCCCTCCCCTTCAGCAGTACCAGCCAATCACAGCCAGCGGCAGAGGCCAGTGGGAGGGACCAGTCAGAGTGCCAAGTCTTCAACGAGTCGGGCAGCTGCCATGACCCTGTCCTCTTCTCCTGTCTCCTCTCATCTGTCACAGGTGAGTCCAGCAGCCTCAGTCACTCCAAACCTGTGCATACTAAATGTCGAGTCATGCTAAACCTGTTTCTGCAGTTGCTAGCTCTCAGTGCTAGCACTCTACATTATGCATTTGGCAGCTGTTTTTATGCAAAGCGACTTCAGTAGATCAGTATTATGTGTTCCCTGAGAATAAAATCCATTACTTAGGCATTGTTAGTACCATGCTTTATTTTATTTTTTTTAATCGAACCTTTTTTTTAAGCTGCTTGCTTTTAAAGTGTAAAAAATGTATTATCGATGTAATATTGCGATTAATTGTGACATTGCAAAGTGTTACATCTGCCATTTTTCTTTAAAGAAAGAAATTTAGGGCAGTAACTCTAAAAATATTGAAGATATCTTAATATCCTTCTAGATTCTCATTCTTTTGGAATCTTCATTTTCAAGGCCCTACAGTATATGCTTCAGTCCCATAGATGTGGGGATCTCAGAGTAGCTCCATGTTCAAAGTTCAATGAATTTTACTCACTTTCAGTGATTAAAAACCAAGTGTGGTTCACTGTGCACACATTTAAAGAGGAATGTCTGAAGAATAATGTTTAAACTAGAATGTATCTTGTTTCCCTCTAGCAAAATTGCTTTAAAACATAAATCTCCAAAAAGTACCAAAAATCCACTGAAAATGCACATTAACTTGCACATTAACAAAAGTGTATTTGAATCAGTTTCTGGGATATTTGGAAGAAATTTTGTTTATTTTATATACATGTTGTTTACGTTGTATAGTTCAAATATGCAGTATCATAACTACGTTACCACATTAACATCCCTATATCTGTCAGATTAAAAATGAAGATTCCAAAAGAAAAGTTTCATAAGAACAAGAATCTAATATGACATTAAAATATCTTTAACACTTCTTAAATTAAAGACATGTCAATTTCAGAAATGTTTTTTGGCACTCAGAAGGTGTGTTGTATACAATAGTTTTGATAACACTGAAACTAGAAATCTATCTCATTCCCATCTCTTTGTTTCCCAGAGATTTTTCTTTAAACACAATAACTATGGTTCTTGACCATTGAAAATGGGTAAAATTCAACAATTTGGACATGGAGTCATATTGGGGTCCCAGTATCTATGGGACTGAACCTATAGGACCTTAAAAATGAAAATTCCATAAGAAATGTTTATTAAGAGTGAGAATCTAGAAGGATATCTTAAAGGAACACTCCGACTTTTTGAAACTTTAGCCTATTCACCTTATCCCCCAGAGTTAGATAAGTCCATACATACCTTTTTCATCTCCGTGCGTGCTGTAACTCTATCTGACGCACCCACCGCTAGCCTAGCTTAGCACAAAGACTGGATGTAAATGGTTGCAGCTAGCATACTAATCCAAATAAGTGACAAAATAGCGCAAACATTTTCCTATTTACATGTTGTGATTCGTATAGTCACAGAGTGTACAAAAAAACGAAGTCACATGAGACACAGACATATTTTAACCGTATAAATACTGGGAACTATATTCTCTGAAGGCGAAGCACTGCTACTTGGGCGGAGTGATAACCGCAGCACCTGAGACGCGCTCTCTGCTCCTCACCACGGCGCGTCTCAGGTGCTGCGGTTATCACTCCGCCCAAGTAGCAGTGTTTCGCCTTCAGAAAATATATAGTCGCCTTCAGAGAATATAGTTCCCAGTATTTATACGGTTAAAATATGTCTGTGTCTCATGTGACTTTGTTTTTTGTACAGTCTGTGACTATACAAATCACAACATGTAAATAGAAACATGTTTGCGTTATTTTGTCACTTATTTGGATTAGTATGCTAGCTGCAACCATTTACATCCAGTCTTTGTGCTAAGCTAGGCTAGCGGTGGGTGCGTCAAACAGACTTATAGCACGCACGGAGATGAAAAAGGTATGTATGGACTTTTCTAACTCTGGGGGATAAGGTGAATAGGCTAAAGTCCCAAAAAGTCGGAGTGTTCCTTTAATACTCTTAGAGTTACAGCCATGAGAACTTTAGAAAAATAATATTTATGGCTCTCAGACAGGTATGTTCTGTGCAATTGAGCTGATATATATAAAAAATGATACATTTCTAGTTTTAACATTATTTGTCCTTTAGATAGTTACCCACGTTTGTTTTTTGACCACTGAAAATGTGTATGATTTACTAATGGAGCCACATTAACATGTTCATATCTCTGGGATTGATCCAAAAGCCTTTAAATTGAAGATACCAAACAAAATGTTTGTTGTTAACCAAAATATGAAAGGATATTAAGATATTTTTAATGATTCTTGAGTTACAGGCATGCAAACCTGAGGCAAAAAACAAGTGAAAGAGAAGTGCCTTTTATTTTTATTTCACTGTTAGCATAATGAAACAGAGATTGCTAAAGTCACCATATTTAACTAATAGACCAACCAATCTCTGTGTGAAAATAACATAATGCGGCTATCTTTCTAAAGTCATTTTTACAACCCTGTAAATTGTCTCCAAATCTCAGGTGAAAATTGTCATTTTGAGCCCCTCTAGAAAATAGTGGATTACTCTGTGAATAAACAATCATGACATTTATTATTTTGGCTTTCATAACTATAGACACTCACCTAAAGGATTATTAGGAACACCATACTAATACTGTGTTTGACCCCCTTTCGCCTTCAGAACTGCCTTAATTCTATGTGGCATTGATTCAACAAGGTGCTGAAAGCATTCTTTAGAAATGTTGGCCCATATTGATAGGATAGCATCTTGCAGTTGATGGAGATTTGTGGGATGCACATTTAGGGCACGAAGCTCCCGTTCCACCACATCCCAAAGATGCTCTATTGGGTTGAGATCTGGTGACTGTGGGGGCCATTTTAGTACAGTGAACTCATTGTCATGTTCAAGAAACCAATTTGAAATGATTCGAGCTTGTGACATGGTGCATTATCCTGCTGGAAGTAGCCATCAGAGGATGGGTACATGGTGGCCATAAAGGGATGGACATGGTTAGAAACAATGCTCAGGTAGGCCGTGGCATTCAAACAATGCCCAATTGGCACTAAGGCGCCTAAAGTGTGCCAAGAAAACATCCCCCACACCATTACGCCACCACCACCAGCCTGCACAGTGGTAACAAGGCATGATGGATCCATGTTCTCATTCTGTTTACGCCAAATTCTGACTACCATCTGAATGTCTCAACAGAAATCGAGACTCATCAGACCAGGCAACATTTTTCCAGTCTTCAACTGTCCAATTTTGGTGAGCTCTTGCAAATTGTAACCTCTTTTTCCTATTTGTAGTGGAGATGAGTGGTACCCGGTGGGGTCTTCTGCTGTTGTACCCCATCCGCCTCAAGGTTGTGCGTGTTATGGCTTCACAAATGCTTTGCTGCATACCTCGGTTGTAGTGGTTATTTCAGTCAAAGTTGCTCTTCTATCAGCTTGAATCAGTCGGCCCATTCTCCTCTGACCTCTAGCATCAACAAGGCATTTTCGCCCACAGGACTGCCGCATACTGGATGTTTTTTCCTTTTCACACCATTCTTTGTAAACCCTAGAAATGGTTGTGCGTGAAAATCCCAATAACTGAGCAGATTGTGAAATACTCTGACTGGCCCGTCTGGCACCAACAACCATGCCACGCTCAAAATTGCTTAAATCACCTTTCTTTCCCATTCTGACATTCAGTTTGGAGTTCAGGAGATTGTCTTGACCAGGACCACACCCCTAAATGCATTGAAGCAACTGCCATGTGATTGCTTGATTAGATAATTGCATTAATGAGAAATTGAACAGGTGTTCCTAATAATCCTTTAGATGAGTGTATGTTTGTTTGTCTATCTACAGAAAAAAATATAATAAAAAAATCAAAAATTTGAGCCGGGGACCTCTGGTTGAGTCGACAGGGAATGACCCTATTATGAGTGACCTGCAACAACCTTTCACCATATTTGTTACACCATAATATTTTAAAATCATTTAAAAACTTTCCAAAAACACGGTCTCACAATAGAAACGAGCAAACATTTGTCTGAGAAAATGGAATGATGTCAATAGTTGCGAAGTTCGAATTTGTTAGTCACGTTTCTAAAGCTGGGCTTAACCGAAGATCATTTGATTGTGAAAAATGGTTTGCAAATATACTTTTTCAATTTTGCTATTCAGTTTATTCAGATATCTAAACCTTTCTCCCATCATTACTTTCTAACCCTTAATCAAGGCCTCTTTCCCCCAGATGTCTTCATCTTCAGGAAGTAACCTCTTGGGCTCGGTGCCCCCCTCCCTCCCCCTGGGTTTTGGGATGCTCGGGGGTCTAGTGCCTGTTTCTTTACCCTTCCAGTTCCCATCGCTCCTCAACTTCAACCCCACAGGCCCTGGAGGTTCTGGCTGCAGCAACATGGGGTCTTCACCCGCTACCAACTCAGGATACACCCTGGCCCAGAGTGAGTGTGCGCGCGCTCATGTGTCCCGTGGATCCTGTTTGCCTGTGTAATGTGGCTAGATTTTTTCTGTCTCCCTAATCTGTTTCTTCAATTGTCCTTCTTTTCTTCCTCTTTCTCCACATCACATCCTGTTTTGGTGCTGCATTTCTGCCATCTCATTTGCTCCTGGATTGCTGTGCACTGTGTCCCTGTTTCTTTCCACCTGTCCCGCTGTCCCCCAGATCTGTTTAAGAGTCTGCAGCCAGGGTCTCAGGTTGCTCTACCTCCTCACTTACAGCTTGCTTTCTCAGGTAAACGCTGCAAAATCCCTCTGGCTCACTGTCGCTCTCTCTTGGATTTAAGCTGTTGATGTTGACCCTCCCATTACTCCCCTTTGCCTGTTTCAATCCCCTTTTGTTTCATCATTATTATTATTATTATTATTATTATGCGGCTTTATGGGCTCTGTTAAAGGGATAGTTCACTGAAAATGAAGATTAGCCCATGATTTACTCACCCTCAAGCCATCCTAGGTGTATATGACATTCTTCTTTCAGACGAGTTCTATTAAAACATTTCCTGGCTCTTCCAAGCTTTATATTGGCAGTGAATGGCCGTTTATGTTTTGAAGTCCATAAAAGTGCGTCTATCCATCATAAAAGAACTCCACACGGCTCCGGGTGGTTAATAAAGGTTTTCTGAAGTGAAGCGGCGTGTTTGTGTAAGAAAAATATCCATATTTAAACCTTTCTCGACTAAAATAACTAGCTTCCGGCAGATGGCCCACGCAAGTCGACTTACGCCAAAAGAGTAACATGTGATGATGTAGGAGTAGCGTAAGCAAAACAAACAGCGCTGGGCAACAAACTCAAGCTCCTCCCACATTTCTCTTTAAAAATTGTCGTTTTAGATTTCTAATTTGTGAATGGTGTTTTGTTTTGCTCTATCCTCTGCGCGTCCGTGTTCGTCATTACTGTACGTTCACACCGCCCCAGGTGAGAGCGGCAAAATTCGCTCTCGCCGCCCTGCCAGCGACGCCGTAAAAAGATTTGTGGACGCTCTGATGCTCTGACGTAGATCGAATGTTTGGTCTTTTTATAAACTTTATTTAAAGGGGCCGTAAAGCAAACAAGCATGTCGATCGCTATTTTTGCAGAAAATTGATCGATGGAAAGAACTTAACAATTATAGTGACATGTTTGCTAACGAAATAAACCAATTAAAAGCCATTTGTGTGGTGTGGCTTTTGTGTTCATGGTTAAGTGCTATTCTAATTTGCATTCCCGCTGAAAAACAAGCGTTCTAGCGCGAAAATCTTGCCTATAAATAGTGTTGCGCACCTTCTTATCAAATTCAAATGATCAACCTCTCCTCTATTTTGCTTGGGAACTAATGTGGTCGGAACCAAAGTTACTTGACTGCGGTCTCTGGAATCCTCTCAAACGGAGCACTTCTGCATTCCGATTGGTTGCCGCCGAACCGCGTCATAGCTCATTACCATAAAGTTGAGCTGATTTCAACAACTCCTCGCCGCTCCTCGCCGTCCAAGACGCGCCGCGCCGCCCTCGCCGGAGCTCGCCGCCGGCTCTCATTGAAAATGAATGACTTCCGGCCACTTTGACGCTCTCGCCGGCGGCGGTGTGAACGCACAGTTACGTTGCGAGTCAAGTTCAAGTGTTACTCTTTCGCCGTAACTCGATGCGTACGGTCGTCTGTTATTTTAGTCGATAGAGTTTTAAATATGGATATTTTTCTTACACAAACGCATCGATTAACTCCCGGAGACGCGTGGAGCACTTTTATCATGGATTCTTTTTCAAAACAGAAAAGGAAAGCCAGGAAAAGACTTGGAAAAGACAGGACATTTTTTTTAATATAACTCCGATTGTATTCGTCAGAAAGAAGAGTGTCATATACACCTAGGATGACTTGAGGGTGAGTAAATCATAATTTTCATTTTTGGGTGAACTATCCCTTTAACTCTTTCCCCGCCAGTGTTTTAAAAAAAAATCAAATTTTTGTCAAAGATATTACGTCTGGATTGGATTCAGAATGACGATCAAAACACAGATGGAGTAGATAGTCTATCAACACCCATAATGGTTTCACAGTCCTATAGCTCGTCCTGTGTCGACATTTCATTCAGTAACGTGTTTGTGATGATCATGTTATTTTACATGTGCATATGATATCGCGTGTTTCTGCTTCTTCTTTGCCTGTGTTTTGATCTGGAGATTCAGAAGACGCGTAATAGCGCCCCCTACCATATAACAGTAAAAACACGGAAAGCCAGAAATTTCCGTCAATGGCGGGGAAAGAGTTAACATTAAGTGTTTGTTTACACCTGGTCTTTTTATTGATCAAATATGTTAAAACTGTTCCATTTACACTTGGCCATATATATGTGTCTGCCAAAACAAATATAAATCCGATCTTCAATTACCACGCTATATGCAGAATTCATTTAACAGAATTCAAGTCAATGAAAGCAACAGATACATGAGCTGCATTTTATTTATCAGCTAATTTCAAAATTAAACACCGGATCATGTGACTAACTGCATTATCGTAGCTGCTTAGTTTTTTTTTTTTTTTATGTATCACACTTAAAACTCAACAATTTTCTTTGATTTGATGTAGCCAGTTTTTAATTACAAACCTATCAAAAACATGCAATAAATGATTTTCTGTCAGAGACTTTTTGGTATCAAATCAAATGTATTCTTGCCTTTATTATCCAGTCTTAATTCACAAGCTAAGGCAGAATCCTAAATGTTGCTCAGGTTGGCAGTTCTCTAGGTTTTTGGAACTGATCATTTGTTCTAAAATTGGAAATGCAGATTTTGTTTTTGGACTGAACTGAAATCTTAAGAGTTTGTCTTGATTTTCTTCAGATGCAAACCAAAGTCAGGGGGGAGACACGAAGAGGAAGTCCCACTGACCACCAGAACCAGAATGTACAAGTGGACACCGCTGGTGACGGATGTGTTCAGCTGCTCGTGGATCCACACCTACTGCGCTTTCATTCAGATTAACCACCCTTCTTCAATTAACCTCATTCTGCTTTTAATTGACCAGTGTTCTGGATGATTGGAGTGAGCCGGGCGCATTTTAAATTTTTTTTGTTCGTCGATATGTTTACACAAGACCTTAATCACTGTGGACATAGAGCTAGAAGAAGTGAGAGGAGTACGAGACAAAGCAACATAAATTTCTATTTAAGTTAATGTCGCTGGAAACGTGCATTCCCGTGTTTATTTTCTTAGTAGATTTTTGTTAAGCTCCTAAAGGGATGTGATAGTCCAAACCGTTTCCTTCTACAGACTGTTAGAATAGTAGCTGTTAATAATACATATGGGTAAATTATTTATAATTTTTTGACAGGGACATATTATGATGATGTTTAAGTGTATTAGAATAAAATGGGTATGTATATAAAATATACATAGATATTATGTGATATATTTTCTTTCAAGGTCAGTATGTATGATCTGCGTGCAGATGTCTTGCTGTCTTTGGTGCTGCGTATCTCACTGGACCTTGTGAAAGAAGAAGAAAACATTATTTTATGGATGAATGAATCATGTGTGAAAGCTTTTCATAGAGAAGAATTATGAGATTATAGCCTACTTGAACTTTCAGTTTAGTCTTGCTTAATATCAGTACAAGAACTCCCAAGACTTTCAATAAAACGCCTTAGTTTGTAAGTTTGAACAACTATGCAGGACTGTAAATGCTTCAATGCAAAGTAAGCTATTGCTTAGAGCTACACTTTTAACCATTAGTTGTGTGTGTGTGTTTTCTGAGTGGAGATTCTTCTGTGTGTTTGTTTGGTGGGTTTGTCTTATTACATCTGTCTAGTCACTTCTGCCCCAATACCTCACTGGACAATTAGTTCTTCCTTCAATGTCTTTGTTCCATTTCATCCTGTGTCATCACCACTTCTTTCACCGAATCTCCTTCAACACGTCTGGCACGGCTCACCTGCATCTTATGACTGTGTTACAATGAGAAATGGCACCAAAGATGACAGCATTCGCTCAGAGTTGACAAGCAACAGGTCAGGTGTCTGTTTGTGCTCGGTGTAACTCTTTGTTGGCCAGCCTAAATGTGTGGTCTCTGGTTGTCTCTGTGGATATTTCTCTGTGGATATTGTGATGGACAGACTTTTAAAATGGAATTTTATATATTGCTTTATTTTATTTTCTAAATATGCTGAATTAAGTGGGCATGATTTCAACTGATGCTCACCTTGAAAATTCTTATTTGGGTAGATTATTTTTGTCTTGATTCTGGAATTAAAATGCTGTCATTTTTTGTTTGAAGTACAAGCTCTAAAAATTAATTCAATAAAAAATATTGCCGGAGGTGGTGATCATGTTACTGGCATAACTGAGGACTGCATTAGTCCACAAGGCTTTTACCATTCATGGTCAATCAATATACACTCACCGGCCACTTTATTAGGTACCCTATGCTAGTAACGGGTTGGACCCCCTTTTGCCTTCAGAACTGCCTCAATTCTTCGTGGCATAGATTCAACAAGGTGCTGGAAGCATTCCTCAGGGAGTTTGGTCCATATTGACATGATGGCATCACACAGTTGCCGCAGATTTGTCGGCTGCACATCCATGATATGAATCTCCCGTTCCACCACATCCCAAAGATGCTCTATTGGGTTGAGATCTGGTGACTGTGGAGGCCATTTTAGTACAGTGAACTCATTGTCATGTTCAAGAAACCAATTTGAAATGATTAGAGCTTTGTGACATGGTGGAAGTAGCCATCAGAGGATGGGTACATGGTGGCCATAAAGGGATGGACATGGTCAGAAACAATGCTCAGGTAGGCCGTGGCATTTAAACGATGCCCAATTGGCACTAAGGGGCCTAAAGTGTGCCAGGAAAACATCCCCCACACCATTACACCACCACCACCAGCCTGCACAGTGGTAACAAGGCATGATGGTTCCATGTTCTCATTCTGTTTACGCCAAATTCTGACTCTAACATCTGAATGTCTCAACAGAAATCGAGACTCATCAGACCAGGCAACATTTTTCCAGTCTTCAACTGTTCAATTTTGGTGAGCTCTTGCAAATTGTAGCCTCTTTTTCCTATTTGTAGTGGAGATGAGTGGTACCCGGTGGGGTCTTCTGCTGTTGTAGCCCATCCGCCTCAAGGTTGTGCGTGTTGTGGCTTCACAAATGCTTTGCTGCATACCTCGGTTGTAACGAGTGGTTATTTCAGTCACTGTTGCCCTTCTATCAGCTCGAACCAGTCTGGCCATTCTCCTCTGACCTCTGGCATCAACAAGGCATTTCCGCCCACAGAACTGCCGCTCACTGGATGTTTTTTCTTTTTCGGACCATTCTCTGTAAACCCTAGAGATGGTTGTGCGTGAAAATCCCAGTAGATTAGCAGTTTCTGAAATACTCAGACCAGCCCTTCTGGCACCAACAATCATGCCACGTTCAAAGTCACTCAAATCACCTTTCTTCCCCATACTGATGCTCGGTTTGAACTGCAGGAGATTGTCTTGACCATGTCTACATGCCTAAATGCACTGAGTTGCCGCCATGTGATTGGCTGCTTAGAAATTAAGTGTTAACGAGCAGTTGGACAGGTGTACCTAATAAAGTGGCCGGTGAGTGTATATATTTTGAGTTAAGCAGCCTTGACTACGAGTAACCTAGCACGTGCAATAATAAATATACATTTGTATAAGTAAACAGAGTCAGCTACATAATTTAAAGCTATAGGAAAATAACATTAAAATACAGTTTATATACACACACACCATATGTATATTATATTGATGTGTTCAAAGATGTCCAATTGTGTGTATAAAGCATTTTTAAACCCCATTTTGATTTAATATATGAACATTTCCCACATTTTTTTTTTATTTCAGAAGAAATGAGCAAGTTCAGAAACAGGAAGAAAAGCATGCTGCTTCTACAATGAATGTTTTTATTTTTTCCTTTACAAAACTCACTGTCATCTAGAAATAGTTACAGTATACAAGAGAAAAACGAGAGGAGAGACATTTGCAGTTGAACGCCTGGTTGTCAACAGCCAGTCCAATAATAGAAGTGATAATATAGCAATAATGATGATAACTGCAATAATAGTAACTAGATCATGGATGATAAAGCTTTAAACCAAATGAAATCACACTCGTTGCCAGAGGCGGAGTCTTCTTCATATCAAACCATCATCAACACTGATTTCCCTCAGATCTTCATGAGAATACAAGGGATAGGAGATCTATATACTGGATATGAATCATAGCACAGTAAAATACAAAAGAACAAAAAAAAAAAGGTTACATTTTTATTTCAATTGCCTTCAGCCAGTTTTTCCTTCATGTTAGTGTTTCTTCATTACGAATACGTGACATACTTTCATGGATGTTTTCTAATTAGTGTCTAAGGCACTTTAAGAAACTCGTCATTAAATGCTAACAGTGAAACAGGTTAGTACGGTTTCTCCTCTTAATACTACTAGTGTTCAAAGCATCCCTTCCACAGCTAAACTCAACATTACAGAAGATGCTCGAGTTCAGGAAAATTCAGAAGTGCCTGTGAATTAACGTGTTCAGTGTTTCCAGTTGCTTTCAGCGCTGATGAAGAGGATCTCTCAAACTGAAGCACTTCAAACGTCTTTATTTTAACTTCCAATCCACTTCCTTTGGTGGCTGTATTCATATCTAATAGAGCAGCTGGGTTTGAGAAGTACCATCATTCTGTCACATATAGGGGGAAAAACATCCATAAAGTGATAACATATGTAAAGGCGTATAATTCTTCATCTTGACATGCATTTGCATCCAAAATACTTCATACTTCCTTTCCAGTTGAAGTGGCCTTATATGGCTTTTCTTATGATGTGCAGTTAAAAGCGATTCGCAGTTACATCCAAACTCTTAAAACACGAAACATTGCCTTTGTCAGCTGAATCTCCCAAATAAGATAAAGCAGGCCTCGAGGTCAATGAAGATAGATCACTAACGCAGTCGCCTGCAGTATTTCATGTGTTTAAATGGTAATGAGATGCTGAAGTGAGCAGCTTTTTCACAGTTTTTTTCTTTTCTGGTCCGTTTCAGAGCCGGTCCAGTGCCACAGGACTTTTTGCTTTTCTTTAATGTTGGCTTGTAGCGAACGAGCAGCGCATGCATCTCAAATCGACCCAAGATCTGCAGAACGCGTTGATCTGGAGAACCGTACTGTACAACTAAGATCCGATCGGTCACATTTGCTTAGCTAGCAGATGGTTTTACATCGTTAACTAACGCTCTTATGAATGAGCACAAAGCAAACTCTGATGTTTGAAATGCACTTGTACTTCTAGTGTGTTCTGTTGTGAGCGCAGTATTTTTGTAGTTGAAGCATCTTGCATTTAGAACAAGGCAGAGTTGATGCTCCCTTGGTAGGGAGGGGATATAAATGTAGGGCCGAGGGTAGCTTAATTCTGAGTGCGGAAGTGTTAGTGTGTGTGTGTGTGTGTGTGTGTGTGTGCATTGCTCACTGGTCCTCTTTCTGTACCGCTGACCCCACACAGCTAAAGGAGAGAGTCATTTAGGAGAGGAAGCAGTGGGGCTGATGGCTCTACTCCACTTGGGCCGCCTGGTTCTCGTTCAGGTCGCTGGCCTTGCTGTCTGCGTCGTCGTCAGAGAACTCTCCTTCCACCTGCAGCTGTCTGCGTCCGGAGCGGCTCGAGGAGAAGCTGACGGGACCTCCTCGTCTGCAGGACAGAGCCAACGAGGGAACACAACCCACTGTTACTTTAGTGTTATTCACAGAGAGGATTTATTTACATTTTGAACTGGCTTTTATTTTGATATTTTCAGTTTTCATTTTAGCTTGTCATTTTTATTAATAATTTTTAATATTTAGCATTCATTTATTTTTATTTCAGTTGTAGTATTTTTTTTATTTTAGTAATTATGTTGTGCTTTTGTAATGTTTTGTATGTTTTATATTTCTATTTAGCATTAATTTAATTTTGCTATGTGCTTGCCATTTTTATTAGTTTTTAGTATTTAAATTGTAGCTTAAAAAACTAATTTTCAATGTCTATTTAGCTTTTTTTTTTTTTTTTCAGTAAATCATTTTGTTATGTGCTCTTATTAGTTTTTTATATTTCTATTAATTTAATTAATTAATCTGCCATTCATTTTTGTATTTTCATTTTAGTAAATTTGATATGTGCTTTTGTCAGTTTTATTAGTTTTTAATCAATATTTTTATTTAAATGTTTATTTGAATTTGAGTAATTTTGTTGTGCTTTTTTCATTTATTTTTAGCATTATTTTTTCTTTCAGTTTCAGTAATGTTTAAAAGGTTTTTTCTATTTTGGTTAAGGTGAAATTTCTAAATTTCGTTTTTTTTTTGTTTTTTTTTTACATTTCTGAAAATGATCTTTAATAGTTTTAGTTAACAACACTTGTATAAATTGTACATTCATTAATTGGTGGACCAGAACTGATTGACCCAACCAGATTTTCACTCAACTGACCATTTGCTGCTTCATTATTAAACTACAACATGAAAGCACAAATACTCTTACATTTAATTACAAGGATCTAAAGCATTGCGATATAGAAATATATGAGTGTATTGTCTTGGCTCAATACCTGAGGCGGTTTTTGAGCGTGTTGACCTCTCGGCTCAGACCCTCACTGGCTTCAGTGGCGTCGTCCAGCTCTCTCTGGAGTTTCCTGCGCGAGGCGTTCGCTCGAGTCGCCTCTTCCTCAGCCTCCTCCAGCTGCCTCTTCAACTGCTTCATGCGGGAGTTTGCCTTTTCCAGCTAAAGACACACAGAAGGTGTGAGTCTTGAATTTCTGAGTTCCTTTTTATTTCTCATCCTGTCATTTACAGCAATAAGAGATGAACTACTATCGTTATTGTTTTATCGCTCAGTCCTAATTGTGGTTAGCTATCGAGATATAATTTTCCTCAATAAAATGAAAAAAGTTCGATAAGTGTTCAATATAAGGTTTATGCATTATACAAATAATGCTGCACATGCGTGTAGCAGACCCTCGCACTGGTGCCAATACCAATTTGCCTAACTGATCAGCGCCGAAGCATTAAAAGGCAAACGCACCAAAAGCGTAACGAAACCGATCTGCGCGTTTGAACCGGCCGCTGCTTATGTGTCATCAAGTGTCTCAAACAAACCTGTGGATCTCTTTGAATTGACCTGAACCAGTGACTAGTCTATCCACAAAAGCAATTGGTAGCAAAATAGATTTTGGAAAAGCCAGCCAATCAAATTGAAATGGGCAACTTCAGACAGTTTGCCATTTTTGGTCAGAATGTTTCATAAACAGCCCATGGAAATGTTGTCTGAAACTTGCAATAAATTAAACTGAATTTCCACTTTCCATGTAATCAGTATTGCAGCTCAGGACCCGGTACACTTGAGAATGAAGACTAGTATTTGGGGTTTCATTCACCTGTTCTTTGTACTGGTCAGCATGGCGACGCTCATCCTCCACTTGCATGAACACTTCTTTCAGTTTCTTCTCTGTGCGACGCACAATCTTATTTGCTGCTGCTCTCTCCCTGTGAAGTGTGCGGATCATACATCATTAACAAAAAAAACCACTGGCACTAATTTGAGTTTTGCAGTTTTTCATTGTTGCTTACTTTGCTTCCTGTTCAAGTTGCTCCTCTAGCTGGATAATCTTGGCCTCCAGGGCGGCGATAGAGGCCTTGAACTTTGATTTGATGGATCCCTCCAGTTCTTGCAGTTTGGACTTCAAGTCTTTGTTTTGCCGCTCCAGCTGCTGACGGGCGTTCTCGCTCTTCTGGGCGGCACTGCGCTCTCCTGCCAGCTCTGTGTTCAGTGTATCCACCTGAAGATGCAGACACAACAGCTGTTATTAGAGATGTGAAATGTAGTTAAGAGTGCTAATGGAGATTACGCATCTTACAAAGCTCCCAAGCACATAAACCTTTAAAAACATGGTCTGTTCTCAAAGCTCTGACAAGTTTAACTGCATTGAAAACAGTTTGCTACAAGCTGCTCATATTTACAGTAGCTTCCTCAACACTGCACCTGCATGGTGGTCTTGCGGAAGCGGTCGTTCAGGAGCTCCATGTTGCTTTGTTCCTCCTCAAGCTCTTCTTCCAGCTGGGAGATACGAGCCTCCAGCCTCCTCTTTTCATCCAAGAGGGCTGCCCTGAAGGAAAAACAAACGTGAATGAATGATGAAGCTTGTTTTTCAACAAACTATGAACAGAGGAGTCAATTCATAAATACCGTAAAACTTCAAATAGCAGCCCGGGCTTTTATTTTCTCTCTTTTATTTGAGACAGGCGTCTATATGAGACAGGCCTTTATAATTTAGTGTTGAGATGTTGTTCATTGAGTGTAGGCCTAGAGTCTCTAATCTCTAAAAATCTCCAAATGCTCCACGTGAAACTGCGGTCTTGCGACCTTTTACTATCGTGTCAATTGATTTTTATTAATATGCGCGAGGGAGAGAGAGCAAGACAGCGCTCGTGTAGTTTGAAGACGTGAGAGTGCGCGCGCACGGCCTGGGCACTCTCTCTCTCTCTCTGCTTGTAACGTCTTTCTATTCTACATCACTCATCGATCAAAAAAGGCTTTGGAGGGACAACAGTTTGCTTTGGCGGCCGCCAAAAAGCGGACGATCTGACGGGTTTTAGAAGATTAAATACTCGGCTATTATTTGAAGTTTTACGGTTGTAGAATTTACCGGCACTAAAGCCAGCATGAAATGGAAATTGTGATAACCTTTTCTTCCCTATTCTGATGTATATTATTATTATTATTATTATAAAAACATCACAACATTCTATAAAAAACTCTCATGGTGACTTGAAATCAAGTCCACATGCAACCCTCTATGCACACCGTGGCAATAGAATCACCATTGGCTTGTAAATTTTTATATCTAAAAACGTACTCTTAACATCAGTCAATGAAGCATTATATTACGACATTATGATAATCAAGCACTATTTAATGATAGTTTAAATAATGGTGCTTAAGGTATGGTTGGTCATTCAGTGTTTCTATAAGGAGAAAAAAAGATAATAGATAATAGTAGTAGGATTATTATCTTTTAATAATAATTACTAATCCTACTACTAATAATGACAATAAACAACACACTAAGGATTGATGAGCTGCTGGGTTAATGAATATTAAGCATGTTGTCAGCGTGCGCTCGAACTGATTTGCTGAAATCAAAACAGGGATGAGAAGGACCAGCCAATGAGATTGCCCTTTACGCATTAGTTCCGCCCACTACCAACCAACATATCTTCTGCTTGTTCTGAAAAGCTGAATAATTCCAAATGAACTGTTATTTTGACAGAATCGACGTGCTACATGTAAACGATATTCTTTGACTCGTTTCTAGAATGCATGAATATATTATATTCATCCCATACGCTTTCGTCATTGGCGGAGCAGTCGGTCAATCCCACCTTTCCAGTAAATACGACTTGTGATTGGACTGTACGTCAGCAGACAGCAAAGCATTGGCCAAGAGCAGAAGGCCCTCCCTCCAGGCTTTTTTTTTTTTTTTTTTTTTAGTTGCGAAGCTTCATTTTCGCTCAGTCTGAGTTTCAGAGTTTCAGAGCAGAACTGTGTGACAACGCTGCCACAAATCACGTGAGTCGCAATTTCGCAAATGTGTGGGCGTATCTCCACAAACTGGGTGTTGTAAACTCAGCTCTGAAAAAATAGTCTGCAATAGGAGTGCACATGTAATGTAATGTAATAAGTTTCGCCCTTTTGAACCTCAGTTTTCAGAGTTTCAAAACTTTTTTTCACCTATTCGCACACCAGTTTTCAGATCACCATTTACAAGGTTTCAAATCTGGAAAACAAACTATACACTGGGAGAAAAGTGACAAATTCGGAACTCTGAAAAAATGATTGCACAACACCATAAAAAAAAAAAAGAGTGTTGCACTTCCGAAGAAGGAAAACTCAAAAACAAAATTATGTTTGCAGAGATTTCTTTTTTTTTTTTCACTTTGCAAGCCTGCAAAAGTCTGTTTTCAGAGTTTCAAAACTTTTTTTCACCTATTCGCACACCAGTTTTCAGATCACCATTTACAAGGTTTCAAATCTGGAAAACAAACTATACACTGGGAGAAAAGTGACAAATTCGGAACTCTGAAAAAATGATTGCACAACACCATAAAAAAAAAAAAGAGTGTTGCACTTCCGAAGAAGGAAAACTCAAAAACAAAATTATGTTTGCAGAGATTTCTTTTTTTTTTTTCACTTTGCAAGCCTGCAAAAGTCTGTTTTCAGAGTTTCAAAACTTTTTTTTACACATTCACACACCAGTTTTCAGATCACCATTTACAAGGTTTCAAACCTGGAAAACAAACTAATACAGTGGGAGAACAATGACAAAATAAACAATCGAAACAAGCGATTCAAACATTAAACAATCTGAAAAATTGTTTGCGCAACATCGTAAAAAAAATGTTGCAGTTCTGAAGAAGGAAATCTCAAAAACAACATAATGTTTGCAGAGATATTTTTTAAAAAAATTTACATTTTGCAAGCTTGCAAATCTTATTTTTCGATCTTGCAAAACTTTTTTTGGTAAGATTTTGAGTTTTCAAACACTTACTTTCAACCTTTCAGAACTTTATTTTCAGTTTTGAATCATGGCAGGATATTAATCCCATAAGTGTTGAGAGAGTGAAAATATATCTATGCTAAACGTATACTAAGCCCTGTAACACAAACTGGCGAGTAAAATCTAAGAATTTATTAGCCAGTGGTTAATGATAGACATTTAGTAGCCCGGAATGAAGATTTAGTCACATATGCGAGTGATTTACTTGCATTGTAGAGGGTTGAGATGAAATCCAAATGGACCCTATTTACTTTTCACCACAAGACTAGTATTGTGTGTTAGCAGTTTATCTGTTAATCCAAAAGAAAAAGAAATTATTCGTAATCCATAAATCTTTCGTCAATTCCGCTTCACTCAGAAATACGTCACAATACTCAGAAATACTGACTTTAAGAAACTTTGCAGCACAATGACTCACTTTCCTGAGGCGCTGTTAGAGATTTCATCTGCCAGCTCATCTCTTTCTTGCTCTGCGTGACGTCTGGCTCGCTCTGAAGATGCCAGGTCCTAAAAACACAATCACAACAACCAAACCATCAAGACTTGCCAGTCTAACTAATCTAATTTATAACAGTGTGTGGAAAGACCAGCAACAGATGCGTTTCTCAGATGTATTTCAGGCTGTGTTGGCTCACCTCTTGCAGCTGCAGAATCTCAGCCTCGAGACTCTTGAGTTTCTTCTCATTCTCCTTAGACTGAGTGAAGATCTCATCCCGAGAAGTGCGCGCCTCCTCAAGCTCTCTCTGATAGTCCTTCATCTGGGCCTGTTTTGAAGAGATGTTGCCATCTGTGCGTCTCACATTTTGTCCTATCTCTACACCAATTCTTGTGACTTAAAATTATAAGTGACAGTAAGTTGGGCAAAAAAAATATTTTTCAATTTTTTTTTAATTTTTTTTTTTTTTTTACAAAATGTGGTTGATTCGATATCAATTCTCAAAAGCAATGAATCAATCTTTTTTCCATATATATATTTCTGAAAACATTGCAAATAATATCTGCTTAATGTGATTCTTAATACTAGTCTTCACCACTAGATGTCATCCTCTTATTTACCTTGCCTGATGCTACAACAGTGAGCCTGTCATTCATTCGATGCTTAACATGGCAGATATGGAGTTATTATCCTGTCAAATGTCGAGAGCGCATTATTGTAGCGCGAAAGTACATTAATATAATGCGCGAGCGCGAATCTCTCTGCTGGGCGAACTCTCTCAGATACACGCTGCTCTAGTAAGAATTGTCTCTGGGCTCGCTCAGAGAATATGCCTGCACTTAAAACGTGTTCAGTGCAATCGCGAATCTCTCCTCTTCGCTTAAAGTAAGCGTGTATGTGCTTAGACGGTGTCCCGTGCGTTCGCGCATGCCTAATTACTCTTCTCTTCGATTTCTTTCTCTTTGCTCTTGGCATAAACGCTGTCAAAACGGCAACAACCAATCAGAAATTGCTATTCCATATGTTATGTAGGTTTTTTTTCCCCCCTTTTTTCTGCTGTTCTGTAAAGCACTTTGGCCAGCCAGTGGCTGTTGTAAAATGAGCTATATAAATTAAATAAACTTTAACTTGTGAATGTCATTGGTTGTTTTTGGTCATAATCCTTGTCCTTGTGTTCCCATTGTCTCTTGTCTAGCTTTGTTCCCTGTACCATTGTTGGGGATTTATGTTTAGTCCAAGTTTATGTTCATGTCAATTTCATATTGTCACTTCAACCCAAATCGGTTTATTGGAATAAACTATACTTGGGTTCAATTCAACTCGACTTCAGTGGACTACATTACACATATATTATAGACATGATTCATTTTTTTTTTTGTCTTAATTTTAAAATCTGAAAGTTCTTGTTTTAGGTTCTTCATATAGGCCTATTATATAGGCTACCTTGTTATATAAAAAAACATTAAGAAAGGTTTTAATAATTATTAAAACCTTTCTTAATGTTTTTTTTTTTATTGAATGAAATGTTTTTCATTATCTTAGAAAAAACATTAAGAGAACGTTTATATAATGGCAGAATTGAACGTTTGAATAACGTTCTTATAACCAAGCAAGAACGTTAATACAACGTTCATATAAAGGGAGAATTGAACGTTCTAACGTTATTATAACCAGGAAATAACGTTAATACAACCAACGTTTATATAACGGGAGAATTGGACGTTCTTATAACCAAGAAATAACATTAATACAACGTCTAAAAAACTGGACGTTTTGAAATTCCCTAGAACATTCAGAAATAACGTTTTTATAACTTAATGGGAACGTTATTAAAACGTTCTTATAACCTAAAATTGTTAGCTGGGGAAGGGGAGAGATTCGCGATTGCACTGAACACGTTTTAAGTGCAGGCATATTCTCTGAGCGAGCCCACTCAGCCCAGAGAGAGAATTCTTACAAGAGAAGTGTATCTGAGAGCGCGCATGCCCAGTTCCCGCGCGCGAGCAGAGAGATTCCCGCTCGGCACATCATATTCCGCGCGTGCGCAGAGAGATTCGCGCTCGGCACATCATATTCCGCGCGCGAGCAGAGAGATTCGCGCTCGGCACATCATATTCCGCGCGTGCGCAGAGAGACTCGCGCTCGGCACATCATATTCCGCGCGCGAGCAGAGAGACTCGCGCATTATATTAATGTACTTTCGCGCTACAATAATGCGCTCTCGACATTTGACAGGATAATAACTCCATAGGCAGATGCAGGTGCATTTTTCAGTGTGAAAGACGTTCCGGACAGTTGAAGCAACTGTCAGTGTCCCGATCGGTCCAGTGCTGCGTGCTCACGAAAGTTTATCATTTGCACGTGTTCTTGCCAATTTAAACATTCAAGCGCAATTCGGTTGTGAATCGAATTGAGATCTTGCGAATCGGAATTAAATCGAATTGCGACAACTGCATTGATACCCAGCCCTAGCAGTCAGTGATGTAGACATCTCTCTCACTACTAAACGACTGATGCACTTTAGCTGCTAGGAGCTTTTGAAGAAAAACAGATTATGCAAACAGTAAATGTGTAATTTGCATTATCATTACTGTGTCATCACATTTCCGTGCATGAACAGCAGCATTGTGGGAAAGCTTCTACCTGGAGTTTGCGTAGCTGTTTAATGGCTTCATCACGGGCCTTGTTTGCAGCCTCGATCTGAGCTTCCACATCTTTGAGGTCCATCTCCAGTTTCTTCTTGGCAGCTACGGCAAGAGCTCTCTGCTTTCGTTCATCTTCAAGCTCCGCCTCCATCTCACGCACCTGAAGGTACAGGACTCATGGATCAAAACACAGCCAAATAGAGTCTCATACAAAAACTGGTTGATGTCTCTCTTAAAGGTATTAACCCTTTATTTCACAATGCTGCCACAATATAATAAACCCATTTTCTTCACTTTGCAAGCACATGATCCATATAAAATGGAAATAAAATTAAGAGTCAACTTCCAATGACAAATTTTAACATATTTTTTACCAAATATATATACATATAGATCCATAAAAAAAGGAAACAATTAATAGAGGGTTAAGAAATCTCTACATTAAAGGTGCAACACTGTTGATATTTGAAATCGACACCCAAACAAACACACCCCTCACTTCATTGTTCCGCCCCCCCCCCAAATATCCAACACGCTATATGCACAGGCAACCACTAACAGCTGCTGCATCAGACAGCTTGTGCAAGTATGGAAGAATCAGCTGTGATTCAACAACAACAGCATATCTTAGTTCTGTGAAACATGGCAAAAAACAATTACTCGTGTATCGAGCAGAAACAGATCCTTTTTCAGGTCTTCCTGCTCTCTAATGTCTCTCCAGCGCTGGAAAACTTTTCCAATATTAAAGGTGCCCTAGAATGTTTTTTTTATTATTTTATAATGTTTCCTGGGTCACCCTTATAATTTTAGTATGTTTTTTAGATAAAAAATAATCATAATTTAGAAATAAATGGCATTTTTCCTTGCCTGCTTTTAGCCTCTGATTTGAACACTCTGTTTGAAGGGGCGTGTCTGCTGTGGGATTCAGTGTAACCGCGGCCACTGCTGTGATTGGCTGACATGCTTGCATATGAAATAGCTACGCATTACATGTGAAACTCTCTCCCGAATACTTTTACTACTGCTATTATACGTTTTTACTATAACAGCTATAGAGATTAACGAATCGTGAGATGTTTTTAAAGTATTAGGATCTATTCCCATCACATAAAATGTTGCCGTGATGAGCATTGAGCAGATGACAGTGTGTTGATCGCGAGAATGAAGATCTTATCATTGCAAAGCAGTTTCTGCACTCTCTCTGCTTTCACCAATGCAAACACGATGATGTAAATACAGTAAGAGCTTCGTTGTGCAGTAACGTGCGTCATTGATTTCATAACGAGTTTGGCAAGTGTCCAGATAAACTCGCGCTGTGTGGAAAGATTGTTCTTTGATCGCTTTCTGTATATAATTTGTTCACAATTTAAATACGATTATTTTCATCCTACTAAAAGAAACGATGTGAAGCTGATATTTTAGTCACTGGCTTGACTTACTGATGCATAAACAGTATTGAACGATTTTGAGAGAAAGATTACCTGTCTGAACTTGAACAATTACACATCAGAAAGTGTTGCTTGGTGGCTCGATCCGAGGCCAGCTCTGTATTGGCCCAAGTTGAGGAAACAGTCGGTGAAATGTTTGGAAATTTCCAGAGAAAATAAAATTAACCCATTGTTTCTTCAAAGGCTCAGATGAAGGAACTAAAAAATACTTTTGTGTTCATGTGTACATCCACACTGAGCAACTGCCATGCTTCGGCTGCGCAGTTCCGCCTGGCATTGAGGGCTGGCATTATGCAAATATTTGGAGGCGTACATATTAATGATCCCGACTATTGCGTCACAGTCGGTATTGTGTGGAGAACCGACCGTTTTTCAGGGGTGTTTTTAATAAACGTGAATTAAATGAGAATGCGAAAACAGTCCAGTTTGAGATTCACTCTATGTCATGTCCATGCACTGAACTCTTGTTATTTGACTATACCAAGGTAAATTCAATTTTGAATTATAGGTCACCTTTAACAATATTAGCTCTTGTCTGATCGTAACCCTTCTTCCAATTATATTCCCGAGACCTATTCCTCTTTAGTAATATCTCAGCTATCTCTCTTTCTACCGTCTTCAAATATCCACTTTGTTTTTTCTCCCACTTAAACAGCCAGAACTACGCACACACAGAGAACAGACATCTAGTAAATATTCTCAAAATAGTTTTATTAGGTGTTGATTTAAAAATGTTCAACAGCATTACTCAGAAATATTTTATATATCATGTTTAATCTTAAATAAATGGATAATCTTCATCTTCAAATTACTTGTAATCCTCAAAAAACTGTAAATTCCACTCACCTGTTTGACCAGTGCTCTCTTCTTTTCCTCATTCTGCTCATCTCTGGCCTGCAGGTCTCGGTCAAACTGAGCCTTCATGGCCTGCATGTTGACCTCCAGACGCAGCTTGGCATCTTCTGTGGCCTGTAGTTCGTCCTCCAGCTCCTCTAGCTGAGTGCGCATCTCCTCCACCTGCTGCTCCAGCGTGCGTTTGGATTTCTCCAGCTCATGGACCTACGGATTACAGAACGTAAATAAAGAGACCGTAACAGTGTCCTAATTGGTCACTTCATAATCAAGAGCCAAATGATAAATCCAGGAGTCATCCAGTATTTTAAACAATGAGTGTGCATGACTAGTCTCAAAAAATATTTTATGGAGATTGCTGAGGATGATGTCCCTTTTTCATACATTTTAAAATAGAAATTTCAAATTTTTCTGATCACTTTTAACATTTGAATTTCCATGACATCATGGCTAAAACCACCACAACACATTTTATTGTTTGCTTTAGCACTGCAAGATACATTAAAATAAAACTCAGACTCAGTACGATCATCAAATCGCAAAGGCTGCTATTTAATGAAATAAACATACGTTCTGCGTGTTTCATAGTGTTCTTACACACGAGCTGCTCATTATGTTTGCAGTGTTTGCAGCGGCTCAGAGCGGCTCGGTTTGCAGTAAATGTCGCTCCACATGAACTCCATCTCTGCATCTACTCTGAGTTTGGGTCGCTTTAACATGCATTCGGGAACGCAACATGCACCAACTATCTCCTCACACGTAATGAGAAGCTTTAAGGGCTCTGTGGTTTTCCATCAAAATAAAACTGATGGTTAAACGTTTAAAAATGAAGAAATTGAGAATTATTTTTCATTCATTTTTATTTTGTTTTTATTACAAATATTACATTTGTATTATTATTATTATTATTATATAGCCAATAGCCATATTGATAATCAAAATTGTAGCTAAATTGTGCAGTCCTACAAACCACCACAGCAAACCTGGATAAAAAAATTAAAAATCGCAATTAATTTTTTACACCAAATCATTCAGCCCTACTTTACTTCCATCTCTGTCACGGCATTATGAGATGATCAAGCCACACTGAAATCTCATCAGTTAAACATGCATATGTTCTGACTGGCTGATTTTGTTGCTTTGCTAAGTATTCTGTTGTCAGTGAAGGCACGCAAATTACATGACACCTGAAACTTGCTGCCTCACACTTGGTTAGCACATGCTGTAAGGGTGTCAACACATCATGAGGTCTCAAAACAAATAAATCTGCTGTGTTCAAAACACCAAAGACTCTTCAAACATCATAATGATTAATTAAATCATTACCATATATAATAAACAGTACAAACTTCATTACCCTCATAAAACAGTCCAATAACATACAGTAACTTACATTCTTGCCTACGTCATCCTTGGAACTCATCAGATCCTCCATCTCGGCTCTGAGCTGCTTGTTAAGCCTCTCAAACTCCTCTTTAGCCTCCAGAGCTTCATCCAGGGCTCGGGCCATAGATAGAGCTTTGGTATCCTTCTCTCTAGCCTCAGCCTCAGCACGGTCCCTCTCCTCAGCGTAACGTGCAGAGATGTTCTTCTCTTCTGCCAGCATCTATCATACACAGCAAAAATGCTTTCAGGTTTTTTTGGTTATTAACAAATGTTTTGTTATGTAGCTTGTTATAAACTTGTTATTAACAAATGTTTTGTTTGTAATATAGCTTTTCTGTAACTCAAACAGGCGCTTACAATGTCATGGGTTCGATTCCCAGGAACTGATAAGAATGTAAAATGTGTACCCTGAAATCCAATGTAATTCGCTTTGGATAAAAGCGTCTGCCAAATGCATAATTGTAAATGTGTTTAGTAGTACCTGAAGATTCTCAATGACTGTATATTAAAACACAAAACAAAGACTACATAAAACAGTAGCAAATACTATATAAAACAGTAAAATATAAAACAAATACAACTTAGCATTATAAAAATCCCAGACCTATTTAAAAAGTGTAAAAGGATAGTTCACCTAAAATCACCCACCCTCATGTCGTTGCAAACATATAAGATGTCCATTCATCTTCCAAACAAAAATTAAGATATTTTAAATGAAACCTGGAAGATTTCTTTCCCTCTACTGAAAGTTCATTCCACCAAAACTGACGCTTTAAAAAGTTCATAAAGACAGACATTGTTCCATGTACCATATTTGATGTGCTCTATGTATGTGCGCTGATCTCTTAATATTTGAATAAAAGCTTAAAATAAATCTGTTCATCATATAAAGTGATTGTATCTTTTCAGAAGACTTAAATTAAGCGTCAACATTTTGGTGGAATGGACTTTCGAAATAAGGACAGAAGTTTCTCCGGTTTCATTAAAAAATATATTCCTCTGTGTTTCAAAGATGATTGAAAGTCCTATGGGTTTGAAACAGTAAATGATGACCGAATATATTTTAAAAAAAATGTATAACTATCCCTGTAATCAAAACCAATTCATACCTGGTCAAACTTCTTCTGTTTCTTCTCTAGGTTTGAGACGATCTGTCTCTGGTGGTCCAGATCCACCATGAGGTCATCAAGCTCCTGCTGCAGTCTGTTCTTGGTTTTCTCCAGCTTATCAAAAGCGATGGCCTTTTCCTCTAGCTTCTGACTGGTCCCCTCCATGTCCTTCTGCAGCTTCCTCTTGACCTCCTCCAGACCCTCAAGAGTTCCCACATCATCCTCCAGTTTCTTCTTCGTCTCAACCAGCTACACAAAAAAAAAGGAGGATTACAATGGAAAAATTCTTTTGAACTGTTTAAGTAGTAAAGAGTACATCTGATTTCCTTTCTGAGCAGAAGTCTAAAAACAAATATTTTTACATCACTTTTGTCCTCAAACATGACAGGCTTTGTGAGTTTCTTTGGCAACATGTTATTTGCAGATTAACACTTCATTAATGAATGTGATATGATGCTGATGTTGATATGAACTGACATGTCGCATATCCTCATTAAAACATATGGAGAGATTGTGAGTACCTGGGCTTGTAGTGTTGCCAGTTGTTTCTCCAGGTTCCTTCGTGCCTCCTCTTCCTCCTCCTGCTGCTCCAGGAGGTTGTTCTTCTCCTCCTCCAGCTGACGGATACGGCTGCTCAGGTTTAGCTTCTGACGCGTCTCCTCTTGAAGCAGCTCCTACATACATAATATTAAACAACTGTTTTTATCAAATCTGTGCAGTTTTTTATTGCCGTTTCAACAATAAAAATACTTCCTGAGGATACTATGGGTCAACCTTGTTGATAATAAATCCACTCCTTCAGCACTTCATGTTTGTAGAGACACATTACCTGAGTGTCCTGAAACTGACTCTCTAGGCTAGAAGCGTCTTTGGCTAGCTTTATTCCCTTCTTCTCAGCATCTTCCAAAAGAGAAGAAACATTGTCCAGCTCCGCCTGCAACAAATGACAAACATAAAATGTTTAATTTGCATTGAAATAGATCAGAATCCAGGTTGTGTAAAATATCCCTCCAATGTACACGGGTATATGACCGCAAACACAGAGTCAGAATTAACCATAATTGTTAAATATGTGCTTTAAAAAAAAGATTGTGCGTATACATCAATATCACTATATAATAATATATTTTTATTGTTATATAATAACAATTATTTTATTTTAACAGCCTTCACACTTTGAGAATCACACCAAGCCGTATCGCAATTTTTCTTCTTTTTTATTAATCATGCAGCTATAAATTTAGCCACACTTTTAGTCAGCAAAAATCAAATGAAACAACAGTGATCTGTAGTGTGTGAGGGGGAGGGAGTGTAACAGCACTAACTTGTAGTTTATGTGACACAGTGGAAGCACTGACCTGTAGTTTGTGGGAGCGGTCCGAAAGTTCTCCTTTAATCTTTTCTCCCTCGCTGAAGCGGGCCATGAACTCCTGCAGCTGAGCCTCAAGTTTCTTTCTCTTGTGCTCAGATTCAGACTTGGCCTGCTGCAAACTCTTCACCTCACTGGTCAGCTCCTTATTATCACCCTCCAGAGTCTGTTTGTTTTTCTCCAAATTTGACTTGACCTAATGTTGACAGACAGACAGTGTGAGAGAGAGCCAGATTTTTGCCTGAGCTGTATAAACAGGAGACTGAACCACATTAAATCACTGAACGAGGAAATGAATTCCAAACACATCATTCTTGACAGCAGACGACTGGCAGCGTTCCAGTCAAGACATTAAAACTGAAATTGCTCCCTACAGTAATGAGTCATTTAGTCTATCTCTATGGCTTACTCTCTTGGCCTGCTCCAGCTGCTCAGAGATCTCCTCCAGAGCAGTGCCGTGCCTCTGTCTCATCTCCTGGATCTGTGACTCGTGGTTTTTCGTCTCATCATCGATGGCTTTCTTCAGCTCGGTCACCTCCTGCTCTCTTTTGGTCCTTTCAAGAGCAAAAGACACATTATCAGGTGAGACACATTTGGGGAGCAGGGTTCAAAGAAAACAGAAACGGTCAGATACTAATGAACTCAATCTGGCTTACATGGCTCTTCACTTGCACTACCAAAAGGCCCATTTTGAGGGGTCAACCTTAGGCACACTTTATTTAGCTATGACATGAATGGGAAGTCAAACTTTTTTTCAGAACAATCCATGCTAATCACTGCACTCCGATTCTAACATTTAAACTCTTATATTAAAAACGTTGATATTTCTTCTTGCTAAAATGGGGACGGATTAAACTGGCCCTAATTTCATTCGTCTTGTACCTCAGCTCTTGCTGGGCGGCGGTGGTGTCCAGGGTGTCTTCCAGCTCAGTCTTCAGAGCCTCCAGTTCCTCACTCAGATCTCTCTTGAGTTTCTCAGCTTTGTTTCTGGCTGCTTTCTCAGACTCCAGATCCTCCTGCAGCTCAGATATTTGGGCCTGCAGCTCCCGTACTTGCTTCAGGGCGTTGTTTTTCTGAGCGACCTCCTCATCACCTCTGTGGAATAACAAACATAAGCAGAGATTATTAGCAAAACGATGCATGCATAATTTAAGGGGTAATATTCTACACTTTGTTTACAAACTCTTGCTGATCCTTAGAGTTAAACAGAACAGTTTAAAATCTAGGCCAATTTTGCTATAGTATCTTTAAGACTATTTGTAAATAACCTCTGTTATGACTGGTATATCTCTTGACATGTGAAATTTGACCTATTACTGAATGGGTGTTTTGGTGCTTAAGAAACATTTCTCATTATTATCAATGTTGAAAGGGTTTTTGCTGCTTTTTTTGAGGGAAAACATTACCGTTCAAAAGTTTCTGGTAAGAAAGAATACAAGGAGAATACAAGAGATGTAAAGATTTCAAACTTTTGAACAATAAATGAACAATTAATTCCACTACTCAGCCAACCATGAGTTATTATTTAGACATAGTAGTCTAGATGACAGCCAAAGCATTTTGGATCAACCATTATATTATATTTTATTTTACTCATTAAAATAACCTCCTTTTTCTCTTTCTTATTCTGTGCTCCTCACTGATGCTCACCTGGTCAGTACAGCCTGCAGCTCCTCTTCTTTCTTGGCCAGTTGGATCTTGAGTTCCTCAATTTGGGCCTGCAGCTCAGCTATCTGGTCTTGTAGGTCTGTGGTCTCGCCATCCAGCTTTCTTTTGGCTTTTTCAAGCTCTTGCCTTGTCTTCTCTTCTTTCTTCAGACGCTCTGATGGTCAAACGCCCAAACATAAACATTTAAGTCCCATTGTTTTACTTGAATAAAATTATCCATATTCAACACTGTCCTCACCTTCCAGGTCCACCATCATCATTTCTTGCTTGTTTTTCACTTTGCCAAGGTTCTTGGCCTTCTCTTCTTCCTCAGTCAGTTGGGAGGTCATCTCACTGACACGGTCCTCCAGGAGTTTTTTCTCCTGGGGGATAGGCAGGGAAGAAAGAGTTCAATTTGCATCCTTATCGCAAAGGCCATGGGCTGCTTTTTGTTTCAGGGAGTTTGACAACCACGCTGACCTTAAGGAATTTGGAGTTCTGGTCCTCCAACAGCAGAATATCTTCCTCCATTTTTTTTATCTTGGCTTCAGCAGTCACCTTCTCCAACTGAAGCTTCTGTCGGGCAGCTTCTTCTTCATCTAGCTGTTCCTCTAGGTCCTATAAGACACACACTTGGGGTTTATGGACAGCAATAGTCTTTACTATTAGCTAGTACTAACTGCAGAAGTTTTAGATACAGATTTACTATTATAAGTTTACAGCAGATCCAAGAATATATTTCCCATATTAAGTTGTCACCGTTATGTGTGACTGCATTTTCTTCTTCTCATTCTGCAACGATTGGTTCCTCTCCTCTTCCTCCTCCACGCGGGACTCCAGGTCATGAAGAATCTCCTCTAGCTCTTGTTTTTTAGCCACCAGGCGAGCCCTCATCTCTTCAGCTTCAGCAAACAATTCTGTCTCAGCCTGTAGTTGCTCTGCCAAGATGTTCTTCTCCTCTAAGAGCTGAAAAACATCACAGGAGATCTTTTCTCGGTTTCAAGATCATGGACATTCCACTACAAGGAATAAAGCCCCAAGAGACTATGGTGTACATATATGTTATAATGACTTCGAATGTGTGCTAACCTGCTGGTGTTTCCTCTCCATATCCACCAATTCAGTTTCCACTTTCACCTGCCTCTCCTTCACTTTAATGAGCTCCTCATCTTTGGCCTGCATTTCTTCCTCCTGACGGGTCACCTGGAGGAGAGGTTTCACCTGCAGACACAGTTGTAATGCATGTCTTGATTGAAAACTTCACAATCATACTGAAAATCAGTTGTTTAAGAGTCAATTTCTCTTGCAACCACAGACAGATTTTACTCAGAAATGTACACAATAGCTAGAAAAATCATTCCAACAGTTATGTAAACAGTCTCTTTTCAAATCTGACACCAACCTTGGTAAAGAGTCGCCACCACTGCCAGTGGCGTAGTTTCAGATAGGCGGCACAGTTTCTCTGGAGGACTTTCAAAGCGCTTAGCTGCTGCTGTTTTTTAGCAAAGGCTCTGAGGAACACAACCACAAAACAGCAGCAATTCACTGACAAGGTCTCATAAGAATACCTTTCAAATATTGTGTTCTCTACACTATAAACCGTAAGAGCTGCATATTATCGCTGACCCTTTAAGACCAGACGTAAATCAGCCATTTGCATTTGGACTTACTTGCGAGCCAGGTATCCTCGACAGACTGACTGAAAGTAGATGATGATATCTGTTATTTTCAGGTCTCTCTCTTCCTCCAGGTGTGCCAAAACTCCAGTGCGGAAGAAGATCTTACTCTGACCGATCCGGAAGAGGTTTGGGTCTAACTCCAAGGCTCGGATCTACAGATGACAATGATACTTAGTATTTAGCGGATTCTAAATTTCAGGTGCTAGTTTTTCAATATTGGACATTAAAAAAGAAATTCTATGACCAAAGTACTTAACTAAATAAATAATGTTCCTGTTTATTTTGGAATATTTCTTGAATTAACTTTAAAAAAAATTTAAATTAATAAAATCATTATGATAGAGCTACTTCAAGAAAATGTGTTATTACTCGGAAATAAAGCCTACTATAATTTAAAGTTACATTTGGATATACTATTTTTTTCATTATGGTTATTATAATTTATTTATTATGATTATACATTGAAATGTATCTGAAAATGGATACTATGAAATACTATACTATGAGGCTCACCAAGGCTGCATTTATTTGATAAACGACAAAAAAAAGGCATTCATTTATTTTAAATTGTAATAATATTTCACAGGGTTATTGTTTTTGCTGTTTTTGTTTTGTTCTCTTATGTAATTTATTCTTGTAATACAAAACTGAATTTTCAGCATCATCACTCCAGTCTTCAATGTCACATGAACCTTCAGAAAGCATTCTATAATGCTGATTTGCTGCTCAAGAAACATTTCTTATTATCAATGTTGAAAACAGTTGTGCTGCTGCTTTGTGGAAACATTTCAGGATACTTTGATGAACAGAAAGTCCAAAAGAATAGCATTTACTTGAAAAACAAATCATTTTACAATAATGTAAAAGTCTTTACTGTCACTTTTGATCAATTTAATTCATCCTTGCTGAAAAAAAATATGTATTCCTTTCTTTAAAAAAAATTAAATAAAAATTCCCAAACGTTTAAATGGTAGTGTGTGTTTTCACAGAATGTTTCATACAATACAATAGTATTTTAAAATATTGTGATTTAATCATTTTATTTGGGGCTTTGTACCTCCATATGAAACTCGATGGTAAAAAGGACTGATCAACCTCATTTGTCTTAGTTTTACAAAAACTCACCATTCTCTCACAAGCCTGCTTGCCATCCATAAAACCTTTGGGTATTGCATTAGGGGTGAGGATCTCATATCTGATAGGAAAACAGATTTAACAATTGGATCACTGATAAAATATAATATTGGTGCTACAGCTTCTGAAAAGGAATGAAGACAGAGGTTCTCAACTCTTTAATGAGATATCTGAAACGCACCTCTGTCTGAACTCCTGGAAGACGATACGGTTAGGGAACCCCTGCCTGCAGATCCGGATTCCTTCTAGAACTCCATTACACCTCAGCTGGTCTAGAACCAGATGGGGCTCCAGTTTACCAGCCTAACAGAGAAGAACAGCAATGACAATGAGGTGCATGACCACATTAAATAAACTCTCTCTTTTTTATTCAGCTAAAAGTACATTTACTTACAACTGAAGGGACAAATGTCACTTACTCTTTTCTCATGATTGGGGATGATACAGCGGACAAAGTTGGGATTGGTGTTCCTGAGTGTGGCCATGAGTTTTGTAAGGGACTCTTTATAAAGCTGACCCACAGTACGGAACATGCCCTTCTTGGTCTTATATGTAGCTCCAAATGCAGTCTCATTCATCCCTGCCACCTGGTCCAAACCAACAATACGATCCACTACCATGAAGAGTGAGAGAAAAGAGATACCAAGCGGTTAGGTTGATATTAAGAGTAGTATTTACAGAACATAATTAAAGAAGAGAGACACACAGCACAGCCAAATCATGTGAAGATGGAAGAGGTAAATCTACAACTAAAGCTCTAATTCAACAACACCAAGCAGAAGGTCAAAATACACTGTGTATTTTTGCATTTTTACAAAACTGTGCTTTGATATTGTCAGGCCTTTTTAGTCATCATATCTCAAAAGAAACCAGAAAATAATTTTCTGAAAGTAGTACAGTGTATTTTGACTCAATGCCACAAGTTCAGACAGCCAATTCAAGAGCCAATGGCCCCTACTATGCCAGCAAGTCCAGTGCTAGGCAAATGGAGATATGAAATAGATGAAAAGTGCCAAGGATAAGACTAAATCTATAAACAAGCACAAGCTGCAAAAGAAATAAAATGGAAGGGTGAATCTCAAAACCCAGATCATGTTTAGGACATATTTCACCCATATACCTCGCACTTCAGTGAGTCAGATGTTAATTCAGTAACTGCTCTCATGGATTCAGTGAGCTGTATTAACAAATATACATTAAATATACATTTACAAATCTAGTCAAATCTGATTTCTTGTGGTGCAGAGATGTAATTTTAGCAAAGGTAGAGTAGATTTAGCAGTGCTTTATAATCGATTATTCTTTCTTGATAAAAGGAAGACATTTGGCTTAAAAATGGCCTTAAAAAGGCTTCATTAAGAAGTTTTAAACTAGTACATTTTCCATTACTGAAAAACAGAATAATTCAAATCTCATTACTGCACTTAAAGTGCTTTGTAAAGTAATACATTGTCTGAGTATTTGTTGTACTGATTTTAATCAAACAAGCCATAGTTTTGCAGTTATATCACAGAAATGAGATTCTATGAAAATGACCAAAGTAATTTTTTTTGATAAAGTAAAGAATTTATTCCTTTTTTTTGTGAAATATAACAGACTTGTATACCAAGTTCTCTCCCTCAATAAACAAGATACCAATCAGAAAAATTATATTCACAAATTTGAGTCTGATAACAGTCAAACTTCAATAATTGAACATGGAAGTAATCAGAAACGACATTTTCATTTGGATTCAGTGGGGCTTGCCAAGTCCAGCTACTGTTGCTAGAACTACAATTGTAGGTGTTACAGCATTCCTGTAAATGTCATTTTTAAGAACCGCTTCCAAGCAATGTTCTGTTCATAATGGGGCTCCTGACGTGGCTTCCTTTACCCCCATGGAGAATCTACTGAGCTGTCAGTGTTGACTGTGCGAGTCATTTGGATTCCAGTGAAACAAGACGTGTATTGTTCCACGTTCCCTGTCGGAGACGCTACAGAATTCCTCCACTCCTCACCCAAACTCCATCTCCCTCACACGGCCTATCAAATCTCCGTCTGACACTTAAAACAAACAAGTAGTCTGACCGTGAGGTGCATGGGCATAACCACCATACCACACACACACCGCACTGTCTGCTGAAAACCAAGCTGTGTTTGGGGGAATCTCATAAAAAACAGGTCCAGGTCATATTTCACTCCAAAATTGAAGGAATAAAAAAGGGAATAATACCTAACATACAGATTGTGAAGCCCATTTTAGGACCATTAGTTTTTTTTTTTTTGCATTGTGGTACTGTTTTCATGACAATATTCATATATATATATTCAACATTATTGATCTGACTGTACTGACGCTGTTGAAGGGGAACTGAACTGTGCTGGATGATGACATCATTTTTTGCAGAACTGCTTTAGAAATAAAATGAACTAATTTAATAATTGATTATCTTAACAACAGAACTGAATCAACACTGAACTGACTTCACAGCCAAACTGCATCATTTTCCTGTTATCACTGTAAAGCTGCTTTGAGACTAACTGTACTGTATAAAGTGTTATATTAATAAAGGTGACTTGACAATTAAGCACATTTACCCCCAAGCAACGTCATTACTATCCATTCCGGATATAATTATTCTTGATGATTCTTGTTATTATGATAAAAATAATATTTAAATGTATTATTTTATTATAAAATTTGTTTGTGATTTTAATTTAGAAAAATGTGTAATTGCAATTGGAGTCATAGCCTTGTGGGCAAGCGCTCCAACATACAGTGCAGCAGCGCTTCTGCTGACCCGAATTTGAGTTCTGGCTTGTCGTCCTTTCCTGACCCGGTTTCCCTTTCCCTGTTCTTTCCTCAGTGATTCATCTCTATCCTTGCACTGTACTATCGAAATCAAGGCCAAAAATAATAATATTATTGATCGCTTATAGAAAATAAGTTAAGTTAATAAATAATGTCTTTTTTTTTTTTATCTTTATTTGATTTTGGGTTGAAATATGACTCACACATGTACTTAGAAAAATAGGTGAAACTCACAAAACTTTGCAAAATGGATTCTTTCAACACTTTCTGAACTGAAAATACTACAGGTGCAGATGTAATAATTATTTTACACTTTTTAAACTCTAAAATTAGAGGAGGAATATTTAGGGGGCGTGCGAAGTAAACAAAATTACTGAAAGGCACTCAAGGAACAAGGCCCTAATCCTTGTAGCCAGCTCACTCAGAGAGTTACCCAGGTCACTTTCAAATGTTGTGTTGTGTCATTACTTGCTATGCACATGCATTCATTTTTCATGCAATCTTCATTCATGGTCAGTTTGGGCATCCTAATGAATCAGCCAAGTCAAGCTTCCTTCCAAATGGATCCAGCTAACTCTAAAGTTAGCCAGCTAGACGGACCAGGGCCCAGGTCTACAAGCCATGGGAGTGTTTGAAAGTACACAATGCGCTGGTAAGCAGAGACCTACAGCATCGTATACCTTCACCTGGCGATTCATGGAGACTAGAGACATCATAAAAAGACGCTCTTTGGAAATTCTGAATCTCTATGGTTGAGACAGAAGGGAGCAAAGGGGGGATAAACAAGAAAAAAAAAGCAAAATAAAAAAGTAGTAGAACACAGCTAGCATAAAGACATAAGTAGTAGTAAACACTGGTTAGTGCTATGAACAAGTAACATTAAGTCATCATTCCATTAACACTGGTTTCAAATGTATTGGGATGTAAATTAATTTGAACATTTTAAGAACCAGCTGATCGATCTTGGCACACACACATTTTGTTTACCTTTTTTAAGTACCGTAATTATTTGCCACAGTATGAATACTTTTACGTAAACTTATATCTTCTTTGTTCGACACATTCTCACACACTGCCCAGCCCCAATTTTGACCCTTTGTAACTGAATTAATAGTTCCCTCCCGCTTCATTTAAATATTTGCATAAAGCCACCGAAATGCATGACCATCTCTTTTTACAAGACAGACAAGACATGAAACTGAAGATTGAAAACAACAGTCTCTTTCTTCACAGACTGGGAGGGTAGAGCAATAAAAATGGCTGTTTCATATGTCGGGTGGAATCTGGAAGCCACTCAAGAAGAAAACCGCTTACCATCCTTCCACAATTCAGCCACAAACTTATCCGTGGACTGGTGCAGGAGCGTGGCCACGTTGTCGTTCAGAGGGTCCATGTTTTTCATTAACCACTCATCTGCCTTATAGTCAACCTGCGGTATGAGGGAAATAAACACTGCGTTAGCTCAAGAAAACACTCAAGATGGGAATAATGGAATTAAGCCAGGACTGGTTCAATCTAGATCGTGTCATTTAAGGGGTTCTGCAGTTGTTGGCTGTTTGCATAGTGTTAAGTAACTACTGAAAGTGATAAAGTATAAATCAATGCACTTATTACTTTTCTTAAACAACAGGAAACAAAGCAATCTTTAATTTTCTGGCTTTTAACCTAAATGTAGCTCAAAGGGAGAGAAATATCAAAAGTTCCTCATTTCATGCAGTGTCAAGTTTCTTTTGCAAACAGCTCACTGATCTGAAACAGATGTGGCCTATGGTTAGCACATACCACAGCTGAATGCTGCTACCCTTGAAAGACAGAAACGCAACACTTCACTGCAAGTCAGTATGACCTGACTAAATCCAATTACATAAGGTTATGATGCAGACTGTGCTGCATTTAAACAGCAACAGCAAGCCTAAATTATAAGAAATATCACAGAACTGAAGTACAAGTGGTGAATCCAACAGCTTAGTGTGGTGTCATAAATATGAATGCAGACGTACTTTGCCAGCATAGTGAATGATGCAGAAATCGGCTTTGTCCTTGAGCTGCCGTGGTCTCTGGAACTTGCCATGAGTGCCTTGCTCCTGCACCAGTTTGTCCACGAAGGTTTTATCAGTGGCTTTTGGGAACCAGCACTCCTCATCCAACAGAGCCAACACACCGGGAGGATTTGCCTGGGAATGGCACCATATGACCGATCAAAACAATTATAGGAAAGCTGAAAGAAAACACTAAAAGCATTCTTTACTTTCACATTAACTTCAAATCCCATTAAATTCTGCAAATGCTTGTGGTAGAAAATATTCATAGCAAACCAGAACAAAGATTTCAAGGACAAACACAACTGTAGTAAAAAATCTGTATAAAAGAGTTGATGGGGGAGCTCACCGGTCTCTCAATGAGGTCAATGCAGGGCTGCAGGTCAAGGCCGAAGTCGATGAAGCTCCATTCAATGCCTTCACGCTGGTACTCCTCCTGCTCCAGGATGAACATGGTGTGGTTGAACAGCTGCTGAAGCTTCTCGTTGGTGTAGTTGATGCAGAGCTGCTCAAATGAGTTCAGCTGCCAAAAGATGGAGAGAACAATAAAATATGATCAAATTGTTTTTGTCCATAGTATTTTAGCCCCAGAGCATGCATAATTGATTCTTTGACCAATATCAGTATCAATATCACTTAACTTAATACTGCAGCTATGAGTGGGTATCCAATTACACTGTTTACTGTAAACCTTGTTATCTCTTCCAAACCATGTTATTATTATATTACTCAATTTAGCAGATGCATCTTATCCGAAGCATTGTCCAACACCAAGATAGCAAAGACATTCTCCAGCACAACTTGAAGGAATCTTCTTAATGGGGGAAAAAAATGGGCTCTATGAAATCTGGTTTAATTTATTTTCCAACGCCCCCTTTTTTATTAAAACTGTGTCTATGAAATGTGTTGAAATTCTGTGTTTTGTTTTCCATTTAAATTTTTCTGGATATATGATTTAACACACATTTTTTTATACAAATCTATTATCAGAAACAGTGGTAATCAAATTAAAGCATAAAACATTAACTATTCAATTAACATTTTAAAAAGTAAAAATCAAAATGAAAAATGTACCTTTTTTTTTTTTGTTTACTATTAAAATTAACATGGAAGAACATTTTTGATATTCCTTAATAATAATACAATTGTTTAAAAAATGTATTATTCCTTTAAGAATTACATTCTATTGCACTATAGTAATATATGCGTCACAATTTAAGCTAAACCAAACATGCATTTAGATGAATCAGTGGAATAAAACCTGCTAAATCTGTGGTAACCTATATGCAAATAAAAGTTGGTTCCAAATAACATCCTATTTTAACCAAAACTGTCATTATTTTCAGGACCTTGCATTGCCTGCATTTTTAGAAAACCTGGTATCATATGACCTCTGATTTGGTGAAGTACAGAGATAAAGACCTATGATTTAGGATAAGAGACAGCTGAGCACTAATTCCGAGGAAGCCACACCTGGAATATCTCAAAGCCAGCGATGTCCAGGATGCCAATAAAGGAAGCTCCTTGGCGCTTGGTTCTGTCCAGAGCTTTATTAATGCGGTGAACAAGCCAACGGAACAACCTTTCGTATGTGGCCTTGGCCAGGGCTTCCACTGCAAAGTCAGCCTGGTCAGAGGAACAAAGAGACAGGATAAGGCAAGGTAAAAAGGTGACATGCATCACATTTACAAAAATATGCATAATGATCACGCTTCCAAAGTGCGCAACTTTTTTCTTTCTTTTCTTAAATGGTATGTAAAACCTGAAAGCACCCTATAGTGGACGTTTTTGAGAATTCACACACTCCCCAATTTGCGGAATTTGAACAGTTATGACGATATTTTACCAACAGGAGACTATCAGCCTATTGTTGTAAATGGACTGAGGTAAAAAAAGAAAATGTAACGTACAAAAGTATAGTACTGGTCTACGATCAGGCCTGAGAGGGGCAAAACATTAATGAAAAGATTGTTTCATAGATTGGAGGAAGGGTGCTCTGACAGATATACAGTGGAGAACTGAATAGTTCATTACCTGTTCTTTAGTTTGGGCTTTTTGTACATAGTCTCTGCCCACTTTGATTCTTGGAGACAGGATGGCACGGGTGAACTCCATGACATTCATGCCGAGCAGGTGGCAAAGTTTTTGAGCAGCTGAGAAACAGGAAAAAAAGCACTCGTTCACAAAATGGTCATCTAATGCAAACTGACCAAAAATGGTGAAATTCTATTTCAATTTATTGGGTTTTAGGAGCTTCCCTTATGCACTTAAATGGCAGTGCGAGAAGTTATTATAGGACATATTTGCTCATGAGCATAAGAGGTATTTGAAATAAGTTAGGTCGTTATTGAAATTTACTGACTTCTAAACCCTTACAGCCCGTTTAGCAGCCAAACAAACCCCAAGAGTTCCCCCTTTGGACCACCAGCACGACTATAACTTTCAGCTTCATGTCGTGAATGAAACAACTTGGTGGCTTAAAGAGATGAAAGCTTCAATTTCTTACCATTAACGGCGAATGATAAAAACGAATTAAACAAAATGCCAGTGGAGTAAAGCTTGCTGGAATGCGTCATGATGGTAAAACGGTCGTTTTTGGGGCTCTTATGTAAACAGGATTGATTTAACGCAACTTAGCACAACTATTCTGGTATTTTCTTTTAATATGAAATAGATCCAAAAAACCATTCAAGCCGTCATCAAGGGAGCCCAAAAGAAGTCCAACGGGTAATTTGTCAAAACAGTGCCGTGGAGAACTGCACAAAACCATCTGGTGCGAGGGTTTAGACCAAAGGGTAGTCTGGATACCGAAAACACTTTAATGCTAACGCACTGCCAAAGGATTTACAGAGTTATTGAGGCACATAAAATGCACATATAGACTTTCCATTACTGAAAAAAGAAACATTATCTCTGTGCTAAAATAAGGCATTATGCATTTTTGAAACCTGTAAAAGAGTATGAGGTACCTGTGTTTTCTGGCATGGAAGCCTGATCGGTGTTTCTCTCCTTCTTGAACACAATGTTACCAAACTGCATGACAGCTGATACCACTTTGAACATTGCTGCAGTGACAGAAACACAAGGACAAGACAGTCAAGTAGACATGAAATATTTTTGGAAAGTTGATGTCCTGCAAGCTTTTACGCCATCCAAAAATTGATTACAACATTTAAACTGGAAACACGTGGATTTATTCAGCTATTGTATTCACTCAAAATTGTTACATTTTTGAAAATGCACCAAAACACACTATTTAACTCAATATAAATATTATTATATTGAATTATTTCAATACATCCCGTTATGAACATGGGACACTTGTACTGTAAACTGATTTGTCATACAGCAGGACCATTTCAAATGCAATAGTGAAGGCAAAAAGATGTTTAGAAAAAGTGAAGAAATATAAGACACTTTTTTGCTAAAGCTCCTTAAAAGGAAATGGCAACATGATAATTATGATGATTTAGTAGTATACCAGCAGTATAGACAATGTAGTAGAGGTGTGTTCGTTCCATGTATGCTTACACAAGATTTCCTCATGAGAGAAGCTCATAATATACATGGCTTCCATGGTCTCTTGGAAATTGTCCTTGTCCTGTTGGCCAGGAATAGGAATGTTACCATTGGAGAGGAAGCGGTAGTTATTGAAGCCCTCCAGGAGTAGATCAGCTGCCAGAAGAAAAAGAGCATTAATAAGACAGCTGCAGTCTTTAGACACCACACTGTACCAAACTCTCCATAATCAGTCAGAGATCTTCACACATTCAAAAGATCCAAAGCCTGCTTCATCATTGCACAGGAAACAAACATGTCCATGTTCACCTTGCATTTAGAATAAGGATCTCATTATTAAAAACTCGTACTAAAAATCAAGTTGTAACTATGTAACAAAAAATACTCACTTCTTAGATGTTCCCCGGCACCAGCCAACAGCTGGTAGAAGACATGGAAGGTGCGTTCATCTTTGGCTTGGCGAATGGCCCTGGACTTTTCAAGAAGATCTTGAGATTGAGTTAAGGGCAAGTGAAGCCTATTTTACAGCTCATTGTTCACTGTGTCAAATCATTCACATCATGATGCGCTACTATACAGCTTTGTTAATTATCTACATAACCCTTAAAGCCAGCTTATGATGTGGTTCCTCTCTGGCATACTAACTGAAGCTATAGTAACTATTTCCAAAAGCACATAGAAAGTCAATTTGCATACCTTTATTTCTGCTGATAATAAACACACAGAATATTCACCCATATCATCAGTGTTAGCAGTGCTGCAGCATTACTCAAATGTAACTGAACAGTTATCAGATCAAGATACAGGTTTCAATGTTGGCCCCCACAATGTAACCGGTTACATCAAAGTTGATGCGGATGAACTTGCCCTGTGGAAAAACAAAATACAATTGCTTCATAACTATCATTATATTTTGTGGGAATCCATTTGAACAGATGATCGTCTCTTTTATTGTTTGAACAGAGAGGCTTGTGCATACGTGATATGAAGCATGTTTAAATAGCTCTACTTAAAGGAAACGGTACTCAAAGCATGCATAAGAGGCTAACATACATGCTTATTTGCAGCAAATGCCCCCAAACTAATTACCTAAAGCAAGACCCGAAGAATTAAATTCCTCTGCGGCTTTTGATTTGTTTGTATGCTTAAAAGCTTTCTGCTGACTTTAACGCATGCCAGCGAAAACTCAATCAGCTGGCAAGAGGAGCAGACGTAAGACAGACGCCTAGCTCTTTTTAGAGTGCTGAATGTGGATTTTGGTGAGTGTGTACCTAAATGGCCCTTTCCAGATGCTACATGCAAGGTACATTTTTTTTTTTTTTTTTTTTTAAACCTATCAATAAACTTAATAAATACCATTGCCAAAATGTAATAAGAATGTAACAAAACATTGTGGTAATGTTAAAGTTGGCAAAACAATGGTGAAATGATCAGATCAGTCATAATTGACAAACTTACAAAGCGTGAAGAGTTGTCATTTTTCACTGTCTTGGCATTCCCAAAAGATTCCAGAATAGGGTTTGCCTGCAGGAGTTGACGCTCTAACTCTCCCTGTAATGCAACAATCACTGGTTAGATAACACTAACTATTACATGATTACATTAAGTTTAATACAAGAACAGATGCAACTGAGGTGTGTAACTGAAATAAGAGCAATAACGTGCGTAAAAATTGACAAGAAAACCTTGACAAGAAATTTAACACCAACAAACAGATTTCTTGCACAGTTTGCAAGGTTTAACCCAACTATCACAGATAAATCAGTTTATTAATTATTTTAAACATCCCCCTTTTAACACACGTAAGCTTGAGGGAGACAAATTATTCCAAACTCAAATGTTCCATCTCATCTGCATCATAAATTTCATCTATTTGCATTCTTTACAGTATTTGTTGATATGTTGTATGGCTAACAACAATCAGCTTGCTTCTACAGCAAATCCATTTCTCTTCATTTGACCCTCAAACTAGAAGCGGATCATCTACATGAAGTAAAAAATACACTAACCTACAAACCTAATTAAAGCCTGGGTAGCCATTAGAGGGTTTTTGTGCAAATTCTCACTGGCCGCCTGAAATACAGGCACTGTGGGGTTGGTCAGGAAACTCCTTAAATTAGAAATGACAGATGCCCAAAGCCCCACTGCGCCACATCACAGCTCCCCCCGCAACAAATCTGGGACATCCACCCCTTTATACCCCCCAGACACCCTTGGTGTTGTCCATTTCCATCTGATAGGAAGTTTGGACAGGTGTCCCATTGTTCTTGCTGTTGTCACGAGACAGGAACACATCACGGCACAAATGAGAGAGAATGACCACTGTGATTTTACCAACTGTTCCCATTAGGTAACCAAAACGAGCAGAATAGTGGATACAGTCAAGGAAATTGTGGTTTAAAGTTTTAAAAGTTAATATTATAAAGGGCCTAAAATAGACTACTACAAGATTAATCCAATTCTCTGTTTAATAATTGTTGAATTGTCTTTTAAAAAAAAAAAAACATTAGTAATGAACCTTTATAAGAACAGAAACAGGTTTCACCCTCATCTAAACAGGAGATAAATGAACCATTAATATGACAAAATTTCATTAGCAACTTCCAGAAAATGAAGGTCTGATAAGACAAGTCAAAAAGTCTTCCAATATTATAAAAAATATGCCAAGAACTACTGGAATTTGAGCTTTTTGTAGCAGAGCTCTTTGTAAATGACATTCCAGAACCTTCCAACTGTAGGACGGAGCAGGGTAACGTTATTTGAGAAAGGGGAATTCAGCACCGTGACCACTGCACCATAATGCAGTATTTTAACATGCAACAGTGTAGTTTTACAGACATATAAATTACTTGACATCACCCCAAAGGAATAGTATGTATAGGATCAAAAAGAGAGAAGAAAAGAATAATTAAGAAGGCAGATCTTATACAGCAGAATGACATCAGTAAAAACAAAAGATGAGAGTAAAATTAATAAAAATAACAATTTATTGTGCCCATCAAAGAAAGAAAACATGGGGAAAAAACAAGGGACTACAAGCTACTCACATAAAACAGGATTCCGTTCTGTAATCAAATCATTACAATGGAAACAGAGGTATTAATGTCACAGAGGGAAATGTACACAAACACATGACAGACAAAACACACTCAGCAAGGGGTGATTTAAAAGTTGAACAAAATGTGTTGTGAATATATCTGAAGGATGGATTCTCCGTTTATGATCAAGGCTTTTGCTGGTTTAGAATGTTGCTGGTCTAAATAAGACAACTGATATGTGTGGTGCATAAAACTTTCAGGTTTCATGAGGTTTTTTTTTGCTACAAAATCTTAAAAACATGCAAGGATCTGTAACACACTCAATCTTATGCCGGGTTCAGACTACATGATATCAGGCCAATTTTGGCATGATCTGTTTGACGTAGGGTGTCGTGGTGAAACTGGTGATTAATAAAACGACAAGGGGTGTTGCGATGCAAGAATCAGTCGTTTAAACTCGTATTGTGTCATAGTGGATGCTTCACGATGTCCCGACAGAACGTTTTTTTCGGTCCCCCACAACGAGTTCTGTCACATCTGTGGCACTGACCAATGGGAGCACAGAAGCTCTTCCGTACACAGCTTTCAAACATGGCGAATCTAAAGAGAGATGATGGTATTGGTGCTGCTAAGTGGAATTATGCAATAGAGGAAAAGGTTCATGGAGCTATGGCAAACATCACTCCTGCCTTTATGATGTTTCCTTGAGGGAATACCACGACACAGTGAAAAAAGATAAATGCAGGCAAACAATAGCAGAGACGCTTCAACCCGTGAGTACTGGAATTAGCATTAAGCTAACACGCCACTTCGGTAGCCTGCTTGTTTACGTTCTTGTTTTTGGAAGTCAGTCGCTAGTTACGCCTTCTCAATGACATCACGCACATCGTTAAAGACGGCAGGTTTAAGTGAAATTCGCATAACCTGACACAGTGACTATCGTAACATAAAAAAATAATTGTGTAGTCTGAACCTTTCATTAGATATCAACTACATTAAAGATGAAATTCCAATAAAAATGACAGGTTTTCACATCATGCAAGCTTAAATATACCACTATGCCCCAAGCCATCCAAGCATCCATTACCTAATCTCTAATATATTTATCCATCACTAAGATGGTTAAAATTAGGGATGCACCCAAAATTTCGGCCAAAGATAATTAAGAAATTAATAATTGTTTTAAAAAGTCCGTTTTGATTTCAGTTTTCAGCCAAGTGCATCACGAATTTTCGGTTTCGGCCCAGAATTTTCATTTTTGGTGCATCCCTAGTTAAAAAATAACTTCTTGAAGATTGCATACATTTCAAACTATTTAGCAAATGTAACCAATAAATCAAAAGTAAACCATTCAAACCCCTTAAAGTAACGTGTTTATTTTTATCAAACAATATCCCAGAGTGCAGAAAATGTCACTTTGGATAGGCTACATTCCATTCGTGTTTATACAGCAGGTTAGTTTCGCATGCACAAGCAGAGCAGGTATAAAAAGCTTAAAAGGAACTTGCCTGGAGTTTGACTGCTTTAGGTGATTCTGGCTGTTTGTATATAATAAACAAATGTAATATGTTAGAAGGCATCAGGGCCACATTCTGCAAGTATCTTAGACCACGGGAAAGATCTAAGCCTTTATTATGTTGCATATTTGGCCATGCGAATACAGTAAGATCAATGACTGCAGCATGTACAAGTATTCAGCATGCATGCTTTCATATATTTTTGAAGAAATACATGTTATCAGGCCAGCACTGCAGACTTTAAGATGATTTCTTAATACAGAGCAATGTGTACTACTTACACACACGGTCAGAGCCAGCAGTTATTACTGGATGAACATCTATCCAACATTACCAGTACATTAGAATCTACACACAACACCATCCATGACATACAAGTGCATGTTATCCACTGATGTATGTTAATGTGGTTAAAATAACTCTTCCAGCAAAAGCACCCTGATGTCATTGTAACCAATGTGTCTAAGATAAAATAGATTACTTTGCGAGAGCTTCAGCTGTAAATGCATTACAGATAGGTTAGACTAATATGATTTGCAAAGCACTATGTATATGAATTGGCATTACGAACAGCTCACGCTGATTGACTTTGTCTAACCATCTAAAATTTATAAAACCCTCTCATAAAGAGACGATAAGACGACAACTTTGCCTATTGCATCACACTTTTTTTTAAGGCGGCATGTCAATAGTCTACCTTCTAAAGTAAAATTACACTAATCTTAATTCACTTGTTTTTAACCGGCAAGCCTCATTTTACCTTATTCTGCTTAGTACTGCACCCAAAAACACATCCTTCCCTCCACATCTAAACCACTAGTGAAATTCCACACGGATTTCAAAATGAATGATTCAGCGAATGGCTGAAAGAAAAGGAACTCACTGGAATGTTGTGGTCCTTCCTTCCTTTATGTGACGATGCAACGTGAGCCAGGTACTGGATGACTTTTTTAGTGTTTTCTGTCTTTCCAGCACCTGATTCCCCTCTGCAAAAGAAAATTACAATTAAAAGCAAACATTAAAACATCATAAGACAACAGCTTACCCAAAATAAAATAAAATAGCAGATTGGGTACATAATATTTATGTACATTTGCATGATCAATGCATTCCACAAGCTAAATAAGCCATCAGGCTACATCCTGCATCTGCTAGCACGGCCGTTTGTTTTTCCAGCTGCAGTTCCTTTCAGCAGCGCTGGTGCAATACACAATGGCTTTTATTACGTAAACATTAAAAGTCTTATTTAATATTATTGGAATGCATAAGATGGTGTTTTAATTACTTAACCTTATAACACAATGATACAGACACAAGAAATACAGTTCTTCACAAAAAATTTTTTTTCAAATATTCTTCTCCCTAATCTGCCCATAAATGGAAAAAATCTTTAGACAGACAGCCAGACATCTTCCACAAAGGCCTGTAAAGACATTCACTTAATACTGGCTTTATTCAGAGAAATATAATAGCAAAATATCAAGCAAACGGGTGAATTAAACAAAAACGGTCCAAAATAGGAAATTATATTGAAGTAAAAACAAAGAATTATATTAAGAAAATTTAGGATGATTATGACGATATACACAATTGTATACCATTAGTATTTGTTATGTTAAATATAATTTATGTTGAATTAAAAAAAAAAAAATTAAACAGGATCTTCATGCATTTATGGATGGAAATTCTAAAGCACCTTAAAGTCCCACTCCGATCATATTTTGAGCTATTTTTAAACATTCCCAGTGGTCTTTAAATTATGATTATGCAATTTTTAGCCAAAATCACAAAACCTGTGCCGTTTTCTGGGACTTCGCTTCAGCAGAGCGGCAGTAGCTCATTAGCAATTCGCCTCTGCGTTGTGGGCGGAGCCGTTGGCACGGAGACGACCCTCCCCCTGCCCGTTGCTGAGAGCTCTGTCTCTCCCGCTAGCTTACATCCCCAATACCGGTGGGGCAACAGTATTATATACACGTTAATTATTATTATCCGAAGTTAATCAAAGTTATCACCGATCACCGATCATTATTTCACTCCAAGACGTCGCGTGTGGAGACGCCCAGTGGAGTTACTACGTCACAACTCCAGTCGATTTTAGCCGGCATTTTAGCGTCTGCTACTGATTCACAGCCATTTGAATGTAGAAATACTCAGAAATACAACTTTGAGCTGATTTTTCTCAAGATATGTCCTGTAACATCAGAAAAATGCCACAAGAACATGTTAACACCTAGAAAAACATTATTTTCATCGGAGTGGGTCTTTAATGCCATTGTTACTAATGTGTCAAACAGATGGTTGATTATTTGTCTAACAACCTATTTTTAAACTCTCTAAAGAATATGAAGACCCTTAAAAGCAGAATGTCTGCTCTCTTCCATACAATAAAATTGGATATGGCCCTCAAGCTCCAAAAAGGTAAAAAATAAATTAAAAAAACCTTCAAAAGTCCATATAATTGTGCACTATATTCCAAGGGGCTTTTCACACTTGAAATAGTTAACCCTGGGTCATTCTCATAATTTACCTGTGGTTAACCATTAATCCTGGGTATTCTTAAGCTGGCGTTTCACACTGCACATTCCTACACCCTGGGTTAACGTTCTTATTTGCATATTTGGGGTGTCAGTGTCATTGGTTGGACAAACGCTGCACACGACAGGTTTACATAAAGGCTCTAGCATTGCACATCATCATATTATATACAGTCGACGGTAACCTCACATTTTTCCTGAATGTACTTTTCAAGCTATACAAGTATGAATTAAATGGTCATCTCTTCACTCTTAATTGATGCATTTTCCATCACCATTTGACATTTCCCTCCGAAAATGCTGAAATGGCTGTTTATATACATGAGAGTGAGTAAATGATGACATTTTTGGTAAATCAGTCCTTTAATATGTCTGCTTTTTTGTCTTCAAGCTATTGACTGCAAGGATTCCTTAACCCTGCATTCCAGCTACATATGGTTTCATGGACATCATGCCTTCATAGTGGGTGTGCTGCAGTGGTATCAGTAGGTCAGAAGGGGTCGACTTTGAGAGAAGATGTAAAAACCTACTCTCCGTCAGTTACAAAGACATGTTGTAAAGATATGAGAGACTGTTTACTTATTTACAATGTGCAAAGACAATAATTCAGGCTTAATGCATCAAGAGCTCACATTTCTATGGATGAATTCTTATAGACTGACTAGAAATATTTGCTGTGGGTCTGACTCAGTGTGAGATGCTCTACATGCCGAACAGCTGCAGCTACTGATAGTTAATGCCGAAATGATACATGACTCATGTTTTCAGGCATGGCTGTACATGCATGCTTCCAAAAAAGCTGATTTCTGTGCAACCCCTTGGGATGTGACATCACTTCCATCAGCCCTAACTGATTGACGTAACCTGTTGAAAAGAGATGACCTAATGGTTACTTACGTGCAAAGAATTGATTGGTCCTCACGATCTGTAAAAGAGACAGAGGAAAAAAGGGTCAGCATTTTCATTTACCGGTAAGTTCATCTGAGCCTTTAATTCAAAGCAATACATTTTGACATCTAAAAGGGCCTAAAACAGCAACAACAACACCAGAAAGTAATTTATCAAATACAGAAGACACATGTTCACCTATGTAATCCTGCAAAATAAACTACACATTTTAAGTTTTTTTTCTCCCCACTGATAAAATCATATTTAAGTATTTACTCAACATTGTACATTAGGATTATTCTGTCTTTTCGACAGACGGAAAGTTTTAGTGAAAGAGAACAGCAAGGAGGAGGACGGCTCAGTTAAAATGGAAATCAGTGCCAAATGAAAATGCCGTGTTGGCCTAACATGCAAGCCATAAAACATCTGTGAAACTCGTTATGGCACATCTTGTCTATATCCAAAGTAGGTTTCTCACCCATCTGTAAATCTCACTTCATAAACAGGTTGGTCTTCCAAAAACGGAATAGTTTTGCGACTTCAAAAGTGAAGGTTTATAGGAAAATTCTGAAGCAATCGTTTCATAGCGATACTAAACCTCTGCAAGAGGTAGATAAGGCACATCATGTGGCCACTTATTTGAGGGTGGCTTTAAAAAAGGCTTTGAATTGCACAAATCATATTTCTTATATGATATGGATGTTGATTCGCAAAGTCATTTTACGGATACTGATGTGGTAGCTTCAATGTGACCCAAACTCTGACCTGCTTAAGCGTTTCATTTCTCTGGCACAAAGAGTTAAATGACAACTTTGGTGTATGCTAGAGTTCCTTGAATGGACATTACCCTGTGCATGAGAAAGCATGTTTTAAGTGCTTTGATCTCTGTAACTTCAGCTCATTTTAATCAAACATGTGGACTGTGGGCAATTGGGTTTTGAGTATTAAGAGACATAAGGCCAATACTGGCCACAGTGTTAGGACACACACACTGAGCTCAGGTCATGCCCAGTCTGGAACAGCAGAGACAGAACAATCCGACACAGATGATCATATTCAATGTACTAAATGTCCTCCAGCCTCCTACTCAAGCAGGACCTCTGATTCAATAAGCTCATAAAGAGAACTACTTCCTCCGCATTGTACAGCAGTTACAAAACCTATACACAGTACTTGTCATGTTTCAAGGATGGTTTTGCAAGGGCTCATCTGTCGTGTTAGCAGTGCGCAACTAATTCGCGGCTGTATACCACAAAAACAACATTTATTAATTATTTTTATTTCAAATCCAAAAGTTGGTACTGTTGTTACGGTTTCAAAGCGACAGTAGAATAAGGGGCCGTTCACACAGAACACGTTTTTCCATTGCAATAAGCTATTTTAACTTTTCCATTGTTTTTCTATGTAAACGCATGCTTTTAAAAAAACACGTCTCGAGACCAGGCGTTTTTTTCCCATTGCACTGGGAAAAACTGTCTAAGTGAACGAGCCCTTAATCAAACAAAAGTCTGAATAAATTTTGTATCTTTAATAAGAATCAATTTATATTTAACTCTGACACAAAATTAAACACTGCATAGTCTTGACTCTATTTCTGTAGTATTTCTTACTACTACACGGTAAATAAACCTACTTTACCTAAAAAAAACCTTATTTTGTATCTTTGTTCTATTGTATTTTTCTTATCGTTTGTAATAATTGTTTGTAACATGATGTATATCAATATCATGAGAAACATTTCTCATATTTTAGTCATATCACCCACCACTACACTGGATTATGTATTTATTTGTATTACAGCATAACAGCTCTCTGCATCCTTGGGGTGAACCTCTGTAAACCAGGGGTGAACTAACACGCACCCACCCTGGGAGCTCTTCCAAGTGATCATTTGGGTGGTGTCTCAGTTCCTGAATCTGTTGCTGCAGAATGTTGCTAATGATGTAGATAAATAACTTCACGTCACTGTTAAACTGTTGCCCTTGCAGTATCAGATAACTGCTGAGTTCAGGCCATACTTGAAACGTCAGGCATTTGTGTGTGTCTGGTGCTGGTCTGGTGGAACCAACCATTTAAGATAAACCTGGCCAACCCGCCTCAAATTATGGTCACAGACATCTTCTTTTCTTTACAGGAGCAATTTTTTATAAAAAGTAATACCTTTATAAAGCTAGACAGAATGCGACTTTTTCTTAAACTCCAAGTATTAATATTGTAATGTAACTCATTCAGCGCTGTTTGTGCTACGGATAATATACGAGTAATTTCAAAATTCTTGCCACCCACAAAACTTTAAAAAATATCTACTTTAGATCAGGATTTATATGATTATTTCTGCTGGTACCTACAACATGACAAGTGATAAAGCCATATATTCGCACAGAGCAAAATTCAATGACCAAAGGAAATAAAGTTGCTCCTTTATTCACATGATATTGGGAGCTTTATTAGCTTTGTTGCAGGTGTCCTGGTGTGAATAGACTGCAGGAAATTGATCCAAGACCTTTATTAAAATAAAATACCAGCTGTGCTTTTGAATATCTGCTTGCATACTGATCACTGCTCCACAAAAGCAGTCAGAATTATGATTGTTTTATACATTTAGCATCCTCAGAAGACTTTTGGAGAGGATTCAAACTCTTAAAAAGAAGTGAGGCTGTTTAGAGTGCCAAAACCAATTTACATCATTCTTTAGGGCATTGAAAGGAGTCTGTTCTGCAGTCATTTAATGAGACACAAGGGGTATCTGACTAAGTCCACCTATGGGAACAGAGGATGCCTGAAGATAAAATAGTGCTGACTGCTTTCCTGTTCTGGCTGCAGGAGGTCAGGGCTGTTTGGGACGAAGAGGATCTACAGCTGGGCAGATCCACAGTATGGGGTTTCCTCCACCTGGATTCAGTTTGCTCACTAAAAGTCTGACATTTGAGAACCCGGCGCCCTTATATCATTGGCCAAAAAAAAAAAACGTAAAAATGCAGGAGAGAGTAATAATACCAAAAAAGAAAACGCATTGGAACATCTTTTGTTTAAAAGCTAGATTGCATTAAACACAATGACTTGATAACTCATTGTGTCCTTAAAGGAGAACTTCACCCATTTCAACATTAATCTTTATTGAAAGTGGGTCATATATGTAGTCGAAATGTAAAAGAAATTTTGAATTTGGTGCCCTCTTGACCGAGAAAAGACAGAAAATAACTTTAGGGCGCATTTGTGTGTAAGACCACAACTCCCAGAATGCACCACGTTGCACAGCTCCGCAAGTCACTCCCACTAATCCAGAACAGCGCAAAGTCGCAAACATCAGAGAAATCACTCTTCCGTCTACTCTACAGGGCTAACGTTAGCTGCCAACAGAGTTAGAAATTCATTTCACACAAAATGTATAGTTAGTTGGCTGTGGCGAGCAGGACGAGGGACGTGAGAGCGGCACGAGGCCGGTGGCGTGAGTGATAATGAACGACACCTGTGAGACGCACTGGTCTCTCTCGCGTCTCTCACCGAGGAGCGGACGCATAAAACGAGGAGCGACAGGGCAGATCGAGAGAGGAACAGGCCTGATTTTATGGTCGGTTTTGTTTCTGTTGTGTGTGGCCAGCAGTGCGTGGCTGCTGGCTTATACTTTTGTTTTGTATTTGTTTATTTTACTATTAAAATGTTTAAATGTTCGCCGATTCCCGTCTCATTCTTCCCACAACAACGCAGCCGACGCCGCCGCCTCTTGTTCCTCCATCAGCCTCAGCTGCTCTTCGCTATATTGTGGCTCGTATAAATAGCCACGAACATCAGTTTCGAGCAAAAGATTTTCAAAATCCTCGTCTTCCATATCGTGTGTCGTAAATTCAGGCATTATGGTAAATCTAACTCCTTGAGCGCTTGTTAGCTTAGCTTGCTGTCTTCCAAGCAAGATGGCGGATTAATAGTTTAGTTTCTTCAGGTTTAGTCCCACCCACTGATCTGTAATAGGCCGGTGGGGTGAGTGGGTCCCACGCCCCTGAATAATAATGAGCTAAAGGCTGTAGTTTTCTTAATATGCAATGAAATTTATCTTCCGTCCTATCGTGACGCAAAATGACGATATTTACGTCACGATAGGACGGAAGTAAAACACTTAAATCCTTTTTTCTCCCATCTCAGAAAAAAAACAAGCAAAATTCCACCATCATTATAATATATGACTGGGTTTCTAACAATACAAACCTTAATGCAAAGGGGTGAAGTGACCCTTTAAGCATGCATCAGCATGAACAGAATGTAGGATTAATGATGTCCTAAGCAGAACTATGATAGATGTCGTGTTCGAAAGACAATGTTTTAGATAAAAAGTTCAGGGCTCAGGTTACAAGAACTGGAAGCAGTTCACGGGATGGAGGACTCTCAGAGACGCTTCCTTCTGTGTGGTTCACATCAACCTCTGTGAACGTTCATGACACTATCTGTCTCGGATACAGAGACACAGATTTGGCAGCCAAGGATTCTGAAGAATGGCCTCTCCTATCAGCACAGCTGCAGAAAAGGGAAGCATATAATCAAGTGAAGAGAGGGCTCTTGACTTCTTTTCACTGCATCCTTTGTTAAGGCCTTAGCAACTCTTCTCTGAACCAAGAATGGCTGATTACAGAGATGCCAGCATAAGTATACATGCATAATTCAGACACAATGTAATGTGTAGAAATTACAATTAAAATCAAATGGAGCTTCCACACAAGCATTCAAAGAGAACTCATAACCTGCTATTTTTAATTTGTTCATTGATCAGTTCCAAACATGATCAGAATGGGAAGAGTTGGTGGCACGATTCTGATTAAACACCCAAATTAATGAAATTCTTCACAAAAACAGCTTAGGCTATGTGAAGACTGGAGTAACGGTTGCTTTTATAAATCTATAGATAGGCCTAACCATTTATTAGCCTCTGTCTAGTCTAATATCAGGGTAGTCTTGTGCTGGTCATGCCAAAACATCCACACAGAGCACTTTGAGCTTCAACTCTAAAGTTCTCACTCCGCACCCCCTCAGCTGGCCCATCCTACC